ATTTATTTCTTATACTTTTTTCATAAGTTATCAAAAAATTGCATGAGTTGAAGTACTAGTTGGTACTAAAGCATCAAGTTTGTCACTTAATGTTATTTAATTAACTGCACAGATAAAAAGGCATTGATCCGAAGAGAAGAGTTATCTACCATTTTATCGTGTAAGCTTGAAGAGCGTAAGAGATGAAAGAAGGAATGTATTGAAAATCGTTTTTGTCGTCAATCGAAATCCAAAAAGAAAGTGGAAAAAGCAGGAGATTGTAATGCCAATTGTTTTCAATTTGATCCAAACTGAATTTAAATCTCGAAAGCAACTTGATTTCTTGCCGTGTATCTGGCATTCCTATACAAATACGCGCTCAGTACAGATATGGGTACACAATAAAAAATGAAAGAAAAAGCAGAAAGAAAGAAAGTAAGAGAGAAAGAAAGAAACAGCTGCCCGGCAACATAAACTGAATGATTTAACACGCGACTTTTGACGATCGTCGCGCGTTTTCAACCCATTTTCGGAGGCACTTTTTCCTGCCGGCGTTGCCACCTAACAGCATTAATATATGGCCACCCTCGACTTGGCTGGCCACTTGCTGTGCATTACAATTAGCACGCGATCCGAACGATATATGTGCCCAAGACTCCACCAGGGTGTATACCCCTTACTCTCCCCCCCCCCCTCCCCCGTCGTCAGCCACAGTTTTGAATGCATTCCAGTAAACAACAACTAAATGCCAAAAGGGGGGCTTGCGGTGGGGCAGCTGTTATTACAACCTCGAGTTTCGACAAAATGCAGACCACACCCAATAAAAAAACAAAATAATAATAATAAGAAATGAAAAGAAAAGAAAAGGGGGCCGCTGCTCGACTTCGGTTTCGGTTTAATTAATTAAAATTAGATCAGATGTTCGGGGCAAGTGCATCGAGCAATAAAAACATACATGTATATAAACGTTGAGCTGAACACGATAACGATTCCGTGTACGCGGCTGCACGAGCTCCAAATTTCAATTACAAGAGCCAAAAATTATAAACAAACACAAACTATTTTGGTCTGTGCTCGCCCCAGGCATACCCTGTAGGTGCAAGCCACGCATTAGCCATGCGTATTAGGGCTCCTGTAGTCGGGTTCGTGTCAAAATCTAGCTGGCTGTTGCGTAGTCAAGTTCTAGGTATACCCTGTATAACCTGCTGTGGCATATTAACTTGGTTGAATACCTTGTATACTGAAATACTACCTAAAGTCAAGCAGTGCTTTTCTTAGCTGCGTCCGAAAACGCAACAAACTATTTAACTGGTAGTTAAATTCAATTGCAATGTTATGAGTTTAGCCAATACCCTGTATATTCTGTGATTAGCCTATAAATTTGCTGTGATCAGTCTATTCTGAAAAGCTTCAACTAATTGTGTTGAGTGGAACTGAAATTCCCGTAGTCAGTATCGTGTTAAAGTTAACAGCCACTTTAACGTGTTGTAATAAAAGCTTATTGTTAAAAGCTTTAATATATTGCGTTTAATGGTGCTGCGTGCCAATTTGTTATAGGTGCGGGTTAAAGTTAACAGCCACTTTAACTTGGTGTTAAATTTAAATTTTATTATTGTAGCTTAATTCATGCTCTGCACATTAAGTCATAATCCCAGTTTATCTCTAAGGAACAATGACAACGACTAACAGCCACTTTTACTTGGTTTCAAATAAGACATGCCCTCTCCCAAGCACTAAAATAGCATGTGGATGCAGGTTCCTGTCAAAAATCAAATGCTCTTTAAGCTCCCATCAAATCTACATAGAGTTCAAGTTCTGCCTAACTTCAATTCAGTTCTCCGATCAGTTAGATTGTTAACAAGCAGATCAAATTGGCGACCTCTTCTGCCAAACTCGTCAATTTAACGTGGCGTTGCCATATTTGCCAAAGTTTTGACAAGCGGTTAAGCGCAACGCAATTTAACTTTGACACGAACATTCCCGCAACGAGTCGAAATGTACATGTATATGAAAGTATTAAAAAAAAAAACAAAATAACAAAATAATTGGCTAATTAGCTTTATACTATAATATCTAATAAATATAATTATCTGTACAAAATGTTTAGCCCCCTTTTGTACAGCTAATTTATGGGGTCTAAACAACCGGGCCCAAGGGCAAAGGGGCATGCATGGTGCGGCAAGGGGCTAAACTTTCCTTAATTGAAATGGCGGTGCGAAGCGTTTGATCTGTGATTAAAATAAATGTAATTTCAAAGCAAACAAAAATTAAAAAATAACCAGAACAAGCTGCAATGAAAGTTTTTGACAAAAATAAAATAATCCAAAATAATAATAATGAAACAATAAAAAAAAAAACTGTAAGAGACAAACTTCATGGGCTGATGTCATCGGCCTTTTTCGGGGTATCGAGTACCGAGTATCGAGTACCCTCAAACGAGTAGTCAATAGTGAGTAGTATGTGTGGCCAGGTATCGAGTACTTGTGCATTGTCGCTGGCTGAATACGCACGGCACGTAATGCTGCGACGATGCATCTGATATTATGATCAAGTCAAGGCGAAATCTCGCTCAAATTGCTGTACGTTATACTTTTTATTATTATTATTATTTTTATTTGTTGTTGTCTTGGCACGTGAGCTCGGAGACAAAACAAACAGTCAGCGCGGCCGCATTCCGAGTGAGTTTAATTGCAAACTGCAAAAACAACTTTTGGAGTAAACTTGGCTTTTTATTTCATGTAAATTCTGTATTGTTTGTTTTTTTTTTCGGGCCAATAAACAAATAAACGGCTTTTTGCCAGACACGCAGTAGGATGCTGAATTTTGATTTAACTGGCGACAGGAGAACCTTAAGTTATTTAAAAGCGAGCGAGGAACCAACCATCCAACCATCCAACCATCCAACCTTGAGCGATTATTTAGATTTACGCATATCTGGTTTCTGTTTCTGTTTCTGTCTCATTCACTTTTCGAGCTGTGTTTGCCCTAAAGGGGCGGGGGTATGTTAACTATGCCAACAGCTGTGTAACAGAATTTATATCCAACTTGAATTTGTATATTCCATTTAAGCTGATCTGCATTAAAATGCATTTTTGATTAGTTTTCTTTTGGAAATTATTTCATCTATTTGCATACCCTGAACCCATTGAAAATGGTTGAAAAGTTTCTAATTTTGTTTATTTTCAACTTTAATTTTTTTACACACAACAAATTTCCATATAAATATAAATTTTAACACTGGACGAGGCGAAATATTCAGTTTCAGTTTTTAGAAAAAGAAATGCAGTTTTTTGTTTTTATATAATTTAAGCATAATACATCGTTTTTAAAGATATTGTGCAAAAAAAGGTCTTAAATTACGATATGTAATATCTATATCTGTTCACATAGATATATATATATATATATGTATATATTCATATTTATATTTATTTACAAATTTTTAGTTTAGATCAGAAACTATCTTTTTTATATATTATATATATAAGTTATTGTGAAACAAATACACTTTTCATATAGTGTATTCTCTCTGAGACTTTGCATTTACTTTTGTTGCACTTTTGTTGTTCCATCTGGTTTTTGTTGTTGTTTTTGTTGTTTTTATTTGTCGCATTGTTGTTGCACGCAAAATGAAACGAGTTTTGTAAAAAGTAAATGCAAAAGCCAGAGACTAATTCACGCTAAATTTTGAAGAGAAAGGTCCATCAGGGCAGAAGGAAATGAAATCAAATCGAATATGAGAACATATATGCATATATATATATACATAAAGAACGATGCAGAGAAGAAGAAGAGAAGGTCGAGCTAAAACAGCGCGGGTTAAAGATTCAAGAACGAGTACTATAATTGATTGCAGGCATTACGGAGTTACGGAATCTCGGGTTTAGCCCCCAAGTTACAAAAACAATAACAAAAACAAAAACGAAGCAAAACAAAAACAAAACGAAATGAAATGAAATGAAATGAAACCGGCTGCGGCGAGTGATTAAAAAGTTTATGACACCAAAAACACAGAAAGAAAAAATTAATAATAATAAAAACTCAGAAATGCACATTGTCTTTGCCTAGGCTAAAATGCGGGGGATAATTCGGCTGAGAACGGGAATTATTGTAATTTGTAATTATGGGTGCGAGAGCGAGAGGGAGAGAGAGGGAGGGAGAGAGAGGGCGGATGAGACAGATTGAGTTATAGCAAATCCCCCCAATTGAAATTCAACAGACGCAGTAAATAACAATGAATCCATGTTTTATGGGCCCAGCGACGGAGAAGATCGATAAAAGGGGGAGGAAACAGGCATGGGGGGGAGGGGGGAGTAATCTGTTCTTCCTCTTCTAGCTGCTGCAATTGTGTTTACTTTAACAATTTGGGAATTCAATCGAATACGAACTGTAACTCCTGCCTGCCTTTGTCAGCACCCTACCCCCTCCCCCCCCCCCCCCCCTCCATTGATGAGCATGCTTCAAAAGTGTTTGGGCGCGTTAAATAGACGAGTAAATTTGTGTGCGTTTAGTCATTAGTCAGAATATATCTCGAAATGCTTGGTACACATGCTTAAAACGTGCCTGCCCCCTGCCCCCTTTCCCCGTCGCTCCGCAAGTTTAGTCAATGAAGCGAATTATATGTACATGCATACATACATTATCGCATTCCACATTATTCCCCCCACATTTCAGAGGCCCGGCGCAACGCCGCAGCGAGGCGATAAGGTTGGGCGTATTATGAGCTCTAACCGTGAGTGAGGTATGTGTAATATGTAGAAGGCATTTAACATATCAATTATATGCATATACTTTGTGTCCATCTGGATCAGTTATCACAGCTATGTATACCCTGTAATTGATAATGATATGGCAATGCTCCCTTAACACATATGTACATATATCCCTTATATCTACTGTAGCTGTATACGATTTACTGTTGTGTATGGCATTTACCGTTAATGCGCAACAAACGGCATCAGCAAGTGCAGCATGCCCAATGCGCGCCAACTAATCGTTAAAGGGTATCAAACGTCACTTACCTGTGGCCAGAATATCGTTAAAATGCCAAAAAGTAACAGCATTTGTTGCTTTCGTTGTTGTTGCTGTTGCTGTTGTTGTTGTTGTTGTTGCTGCTGCTTCATGGCGCTGCCCGTTGCGAGTACAGTGGAAACCCAAAAATGTTGACTGTTGCGGCTTTTGCTTGTTGTTTTCTTCCTTTTCTGCTTGTTATAACATTATTTGTCTGTCTCTGTGTGTGCGTGCGTGTGCATGTGTGCGTGTGTGTGTGTGTGTGTGTGTGAATATCACTCTCTCGATAGGTCGTCACTTAATTAATATTGCACTTGTTTACAACGTCGACAGCGGGCGGCGTTGGCACTTTTCTTTCTGCAGAAACAAATAAAAGATGCAACTCGCGCTTGTTACTAAATTGTTGTTGTTGTTGTTGTTGTTGTTGTCTGTTGTCGTTGTTCGTTTTGATTACAATATTCGTTGCCGCTGAGCGAATGATGCGTCGGCCACAATTCAAGGAATGCGCCCATGCCAAATGCTTTTTTATGGCCAAACAAAATTATAACGGCACTGTCACACTGCCTGCTGCTACGCTCTCTCAATAGCAGCCGAAGAGAGCAGCGGAGAGCAAGCGAGAGATAGGAAGAGCAGCAGCGACAGAGGCAGCGGCAGCGGCAGCAACAAGCGAAAGCGTCGCAACGTCACTGCTGCAGGTAGAAAGCAAACGAATGAAACGGAAAAAAAATTAAGAAGACGGCGGCGGCGACGCGTAGCTGCCTGCAGCGTGCGTGTGGTGCAAGCGAGCAGCGAAGAGAGCACAAGTGCGTATGCAAGTGTGTGTGTGTGCATGTACATATACATATACATATACATATATGTATAGAAATGCATGTGTAGTGTGAGCAGGCTGTTGCGCGTGCGTATGCGTGTAATAACGGCGCTTTACAACTGACGCAGTTGCTGCAACCGCGACTTTTGTTGTTGTTGCTGCTGCTGCTGCTGCTGCGCCTGCTGCCATTACGAAATAACTGCGCGTCCGCCATGACAATTACTAAGCAATTGTTGTTGTTGCTGGTGCTGATTTAAGCTGTAGCTGTTCTTCAATTATTGCACCCCCATTTTGTGCACGGCAATTGTAATTATATTAATGCTAATTGCACGCATTTATTTCAACGGCAACAGCAATAGCGCACCCGCACGCAGACACAGCCGCCGCCCTTTCCCCACACACACACACATGCATATACATACATACATACGTTAAGCGACAACAGCGGCGGCGCAACGGCGGCGACAGCGAAGTCAGCTGCCCACAAAAAAAAAAAAATTCACTTGTAATGGTTGTAGCTGCTATTGCTTCTTCTTCTTCTGGCACTGCCGCTGCGTTTGCGCTTGCTGCATTAATTAAACTAGTCACGTTCTGTGTTTGTTGTTTTTGGTATAAAATGATTTTTTTTTTGTTTTGATTTTGGTGAAATTTGACTGGCCGTCGCACTGTTTTTCTTCTTTTTTTTTGTATTTTATATATATTTGCAAATTTAAGTTGAATTCCAGCACAAGCACAAGTGCCATTAGCTTAGTTATTAACTAAACAAATACAAATAACACGCATTTATTCAAGCAGTGGCAGCAACAGCAGCAGCAGCAGCAGCAGCATCGGCGGCGTCCGCATTTGTAAACACACAACAAAAACAACATTAGTAAAAAGTAACCGTGCACAATCTATGAGAGCGTCTTCACTCCTCTCTCTCTCTCTCGCTCGCTCTCACCACTCACTCACTCACTCTCTCACTTAAGGTGTTGCTTTATTTGTTGACATTAAGAAATTACATTTGAAATTTACATTTGCGCCCAAAAAAAACCAACGAAAACACAATACACAGTCCACGAATGTGTTAAAACATCTTTTTTTGGATAGAAAAACAACAAAAATTAAAAAAAAAAAAAACTTATGTGCGCGCGTTCAGCGCAAGCGACAACAATAACCGAACCGAACGAAGAAGTGTATAAAAGTGAACAAAAACAAGTGGATAAAACAACAAAAACAGTGCGCAGAACATCACTTGAGTGTGCTGCGCAGCGCTGCTTTATCATATCGATGTATCGATAGGCGGCCAATTATTTTGGTATTAATCGTTGCTACTGACCATTCACAATATAGCGCAATCACGTAGCGCCATCTACAGTTCAGTTTGCTGCGCGCCTAAATTTGAAATGTCTTTCACGAGCTCAATAATATAATAATATCATGCTATAAAATAATAAAAGCTCAATTTGAGCTGGGCTCAATTTTGGCAAGAGTCACATTTTCTGCCTGCTGCAAAGCAACTTACAACTGTGATACTGCAACAAAAACCGTTAAAAAAACGTTAAGAAAAACCGATTGTAAATAAATGTGGCGGTTGGTTGACTGTGTGTAGTCGATATTATTTAACTATCGATGCGTGTTAAGTAGATCCTGGCAGCAATTAAACTGCAATTAACAGAATTGTTTGCATTAATAATACATTATGGTATTTATATTAGATTTATTTATGCATGCCTTCCACCAAAGTTGGTATTTTTGCTGGTATTTTTAGCTCCACTGTGAACGAGTATATCGATAGTCCAGTTCGATAAGTTTAACGAAGCGCACCTATCGATAAAGAAACTGCCGAATTGAACGATTGCTTGGCGCCATTTTCAAAATTCAAATCAAATTAAATAATATCAAATCAAAATCGTGAGAGGTTAAGCAAAACAGTTTTCTTTCTTTGGAATTCTTCTGCAAGCCAAAAATGGGTTGTGTTAAGGTAATTAGTTCATGCAGACCTAAACATATGCGAGAATATATTCAAATGTCTCCCAGTTCAGAAAATTAACCAAATAAACAGAACCGAAATGCCTGAACAATAATAAGAATATATATTTGGAACAATAGAACAAATAGTAAAATAGTTGCCTTTCGACAAGACTAAAAGGCGTGGACGTAAAATATTTATGAATAATATATAAAAATGTGCATAAGAGGCCTCAAAACTTTATTGAAATACGCAAAAAAAAAAGAAGAAAATTAAATAAAATAAAACTGTTAAAACTAAAAAAGTAAAAAGTAGATATATAAAAATCAAAGCAAGAATGAAAATGAGAAACGATATAATAAAAGAGCAAAAATACAATTAAGATAGAATCGTATTCAAATAAAGAAAAATCTAATCGACGTGTAAATATTTCCAGCCGATAGGGATAGAAGTAGTAGCAGAAGTTTATGACTCATGACTTGCACGCCAAATAAACAATAAATGATTAAATATAGTATTTAGATTAAAAAAGAAAGCAAAGAACAAGACTAAAAGGCGAGGACGTAGACCTTGAATACGCTGAGCATGAACTCTGAGAAATAATGCAATCAATTATTTTGTGGAGAAAAGAATTATTGATCAGATCAAAAGATATAAACTTTAAGCTTAAACAAAACTTTAACAAACAATTCGATTTAAGTCGAGATTAAAGTTAATCAAAAATACATTTTTTAGCCAAATTACCAAAATCATGAGGATATTCCTCCATAAAAAAAACACAAAAAATTATATTTAAAAAAAAACGAAAATCAATAAAAAGAAAGAAATAAAAAAAATAGCCCAAGTTAAGCGTGAAAAGTACTTTTAGAGCCTCGAGTTCGACAAATATTATATATATTATTTTAAACAAAATTGTATCAAAATAAGAAAAGTAAAATGAGAAAAAGATAAAAAGGTCTGTGCTTGACGAGGCTCAGCCACAGACTGAGCAGCAAGCGAATTTCCCATTCGAAGGAAAACTAATTCAAGGCAATTCAAAGGCTACTTTGATGAAAACTCTCAGAAAGTAGGAAACGAAACCCTGCGAAGTGTACAAAATCAGCTTGAATGGATCATAATATACCCTGTACCCATTAGCAACGGATAAACAGGGTATGATGTATTTGTGCTTATGTATGTAACAGGCAGGAGAAAGCATCTGCGACCCCATAAAGCATATATATTCTTGATCAGCATCAACACACGAGTCGATCTAGCCATGTCCGTCCGTCTGCCTGTCCGTCCGTCTGTCCGTCTGTCCGTCTGCCTGTCCGTCCGTCTGTATGAATGCAAGGAACTCAGAATGTTGCTGCTCTCCCAGTCCATGCGCAGTACAAGTTTGTTTCCGATAATCGATAACTTGCCCCGTTTCCAAGCAATCGATAAGAATCGATATCGAAAATCTCGTAAATGATAGGAGCTAGAGACACCATATTTTACAAGTAGCTTCCTAAATAGTATATATATATATATATATATATATATATATATATATATATATATATATATATATATATATATATATATCAATATATCAGACACACCATAAATCAACCAATTGGAACTTCGCACTGCTAAAGCAAACGAACTCGTTTGTTCGTTCTTTTGATAACTTTGGAATATCTTGGACAAATAATGTCCCATTTTGGACTCGTGAGGATCAGTACTATCGATTGGTATTAAACAAATTAATATCGAAATTTTGACCCAAATCAACAAAAAAGCAAGGGGTTACATCACGTTTTTTCGCGAAATCGGGTTCGTCTCGACAATCAAAACTTTTTTTATACTTTTTTGTTGGATATCTCGGGTAAATATTGTCGGATTTTGAAATGTTATACGATTTTGAATTCGTACGGAACCCTAATATCAATTTGCATTCAAAGAAATTAAATATCGATGGGTTACAAAAAGTTATTGACCAAAAACCAATTGGTTCTTGTAAAGTCTACTTTTTTTATGAGATTTCGGAGTATCTCCGCCAAATAATGTCCGATTTTGGAATGTTATACCATTTTCAGCTCGTAAGGATCAATACTATCGATTGGCATCAAAAAATTGAAAATCCAAAATTTGACCCAAATCGACCAAAAAAGCAAGGGGTTACATCACGTTTTTTCGTGAAATCGGGGCTCGTTCGAAAATCAAATATTTTTTGATGATTTTTTTGGAATATCTCGGCCAAATAATGTCAGATTTTGAAATTTTATACCATTTTACACTCGTAAGAATCAGTATTATCGATTGGCATCAAAAATATTAAAATCTAAATTTTGACCAAAATCGACCAAAAAGCAAGGGGTTACATCACGTTTTTTATCAAAATCGGGTTCGTCTCGAAAATCAAAACTTTTTTGATGATTTTTTTTTAATATCTCGGGAAATTATCGGCTTATTTTCAAATGTTATACCATTTTGAATTCGTACGGATCCCTACTATAAAATGGCATTCAAGCAAATCAAAAATCGATGGGTTACAAAAAGTTGTGGTCCCAAAAACGCTTAATTTGTAAAGTCCGCCTTATTTGATGATTTTTCTGGAATATCTCGGCCAAATAATGCCCGATTTTGAAATTGTATACCATTGTGGACTCGTAAGGATCAGTATTATCGACTGGCATCAAAAAATAGAGATTCCAAAATTTGACCCAAATCGACCAAAAATCAAGGGGTTACATCACGTTTTTTCTCAAAATCGGGATAGGTTCGAAAATCAAAACTTTTTTTATGGTTTTTTTGTAATATCTCAGGTAAATATTGTCCGATTTTGAAAAGTTCTACCATTTTAAATACGTTGGGATCTCTACCATCAACTGGCATTCAAACAAATTAAAAATCGATGGGTTACAAAAAGTTATTGACCAAAAAACGACAGTTTTTTATGATTTTTTTTAAATATCTCGGCCAAAAAATGTCCGATTTTGGAATTTTATACCATTTTACACTCGTAAGAATCAGCACTTTCGAATGGCATCAAAAAATTTTGAAATTTTGACCCAAATCGACAAAATAGCAAGGGGTTACATCACGTTTTTTCGCGCAATCGGGGCTCGTTCGAAAATCAAACATTTTTTGATGATTTTTTTGGAATATCTCGGCCAAATAATGTCAGATTTTGAAATTTAATGTCATTTTGGACTCGTAAGGATCAGTATTATCGATTGGCATTAAAAACATGAATATACAAAATTTAACCCAAATTGACCAAAAAAGCAAGGGGTTACATCACGTTTTTATCAAAATCGGGATAGGTTCCAAAATCAAAACTTTTTTGATGATTTTTTTTGAATATCTCGGGAAAATATGGGCTGATTTTGAAATGTTATACCTTTTTTAATTTGTACGGATCCCTATTATCAATTGGCATTCAAAGAAATTACAAATCGATGGCCTAAAAAAAGTTGTTGACCAAAAATCGATTCGTTTGTAAAGTCAACCTTTTTTGATGATTTTTTTGGAATATCTCGGCCAAAAAATGTCAGATTTTGGAATTTTATACCATTTTACACTCGTAAGAATCAGCACTATCGAATGGCATCAAAAAAATAAAAATCAAAATTTTGACCAAAATCGACAAAAAAGCAAGGGGTTACATCACGTTTTTTGTCGAAAAACGGGGTCGGTTCGAATATCAAAACTTTTTTAATGTTTTTTTGTTGGATATCTCCGGTAAATATTGTCTGATTTTGAAAAGTTATACCTTTTTAAATTCGTACGGATCTCTATAATCAATTTGCATTCAATGAAATTAAAAATCGATGGCCTAAAAAAAGGTGTTGACCAAAAAACGATTCGTTTGTCCTTTGTCCAGTAGATAGTCCTCAGCCTCCCATTGAAGAATTTACAATCGAAAGGACGATAGTCCTTCAAACAAAACAGTTTTAAGGACAATTTTGTATACTTAAATTAGGCCATAACTCGGCTGTATCCTTGCGTATTCGTATGGAGATATGTCGCTATGAAACGACATAATATCCCCAAGATCAGCCTCGGTTGGAGATATGTCGCTTTGAAACGACATAATATCCCCAAGATCAGCCTCGGTTGGAGATATGTCGCTTTGAAACGACATAATATCCCCAAGATCAGCCTCGGTTGGAGATATGTCGCTTTGAAACGACATAATATCCCCAAGATCAGCCTCGGTTGGAGATATGTCGTTTCAAAGCGACATAATATCGCCAAGATCAGCCTCGGTTGGAGATATGTCGCTTTGAAACGACATAATATCCCCAAGATCAGCCTCGGTTGGAGATATGTCGCTTTGAAACGACATAATATCCCCAAGATCAGCCTCGGTTGGAGATATGTCGTTTCAAAGCGACATAATATCGCCAAGATCAGCCTCGGATCCTATTAGACTAGCTCTTTTACTGCATACTTTTGGTATCTCGTTTCAAAACGAATTAACTACCCAAAAAATTCCTCCATGTTGAATTTAAATGTGTTTTTATCTTTTCAGACTGACAAATTAAGGACTACAATGAGCGCTAAGGACCTTCAAGAGGGACAAAGCAGATTTTTCCAGGATTTGACCTTAATTAAGCCAGATATTGTTATTTTACGTTAAAATAAGCTAAAATTTGTAATTTATGCTCGATTTGTATAGTTTTAAGAGAAATAATTAAGAAAATAGCATAAAAAACAAGAAAGTTTATAAATTTGAACATAAATAAATCAATTATTTAAAATAAACAACGAAATTCATGCTTTTTTATTAAAAAATTAAAAAATCAACGGTTTTTAGAAATCTATTGCATACCCGCGAGGGGCGTTTGTTTACAACCGGCTGGCTGCCGAGATTTTTCTGCAAATCTGCCAAAATACCAGGCGAACAGAAATGCCCAGAAGGTCGACACAGAATATTTTTATTTGAACGAAAAATTTCATAGCATACCCGAAAGGGGCACCCCAGCCGCCGGCTGGGTGCAAAATTTTTAGTGAAATTTCCGAAAAATACCAGGCAAACAGAAATGCCCAGAAGGTCGATAAAGAATATTTTTGCGGCCGAAAAAATCCATTGCATACCCTCACGGGGCGCCCTGGTCGGCGGCTACGCCCCAAATTTGCCCAAAAATTCCACTCAAATACCAGGCGAACAGAAATGCGCAGAAGGTCGCCGAGTGTTTTGAATAAAAATATTCATTGCATAGCATTAAGGGGCAGAAATGTAACTCATTTAAAATGAGTGCTGTTAAATAGTAGCTCATGTTAAATAAACGCTGTAAGCCGGTTGTTCAACAACAGCGGCAGCTGCAGCCAATGTAAAAGGGCTCCTGAAAGAAAAAGCATACATGTTTTTGGACCATATCAATGGTCCTTTAGGTTCCCAAGGACTATATCAATGGCATGGTATAACCAAGGATATGCTAGTCAACTAGCAACCATTTCGGGGGGGGGCGGCACTGTTGCTGGTGGCGGCTGTTCAAGAAATGCATGCATATTTTGGAGCCCGCTCCTACGCATTTTGCAAAAACGTTGTCCTTTAGGTTCGCTAGGACTATATCCATGTTATGGAATAACCAAGGATACATAGGTCAACTAGGTACCATGTATGATCAAATGTTGTCCATGAACGTTCGCAGATTGAGCTGAAAAATACAAAATGAAAAATATATTAGTTTTTGTCAAATACATCGATTTATCGAACATACCTTTATGGATTCCTGAGTCTTTAACATCGACAGAATTCTACAAAATATTGATTTGAGAATCGACGCAGTTTCTTTCTAAATTTGAATACAATTTTGTTTAAGGTAGCACATCCATGGCAAGGTCCTACAGGTACCAACGTTGTTGAGTGAGTTTTTCTTGAAAAGAAGAAAAAAATGAATTAGTATTTTGTAAGCTTTTTATATCGGTTAAATTAAGCCCGATTTCGGAAGGATATAGTACCTTTTGGGGTTCGTAAAAGTCTTCAAAATCCAAATACACAGGCTGCGAACTATGTTACTTAGTATCATCCAAATCGTCTGGCTGGGCGCCTTCCAAGGAGACGTAGAATTACAGGAGTCCGTATGCGAAGGCTTCATCCAATCGATCTCACAGTTCAGTTTATATAAACAACCTTGTACTATTTTATGTTCGACTTAACAGTAGAATATGTAATATTGTAAATGTTCATAATAACAGAAAAAATAAAAAAAAAAAAAGCAAAAAAAAGTAAGATCAAAAATGCAACGACGAGAATTTAGCAAACACATTGACCATGTCAATTGATACTCCCCATACAGACGCATATTAGTCCGAGAACTTGACCTTATAATACTTTCAAATGGCTTTTTACTCGACAAGGTCGGCGCACAGCAAACGAAGCGAGCAACCCAAGAACTGGAGGAGAACTGCACAAGCAAGCGCACGCATAAGTATGTGTGTGTGTAGATATGAATTGCGAAAGAACACACACACACAAACATATGCATATGCAGAGAGAATCGCCAAGTTTGTATATGTGTGTATGTATGCATGCGTATATGTGCATGCGTATGCTTGTGCATTATCTTCTTATTTAGCGAAGCAGAAAATTACAATAAAATATATGTATATGCATGTATGTATGTATGTTTGTATGTTTGTATATGTATGTATGATGCGTGTGCATATGTGCATGCGTATGCTTGTGCATTATCTTCTTATTTCGCGAAGTGAGGCGTAAATTACAATAATATATATGTATGTATATGCGTGTACATATGTTTGTACACGTATGTATGTATGTATGTATGCATGCGTATGCTTGTGCATTATCTTATTTCGCGAAGCGAGGCGAAAATTACAATAAAATATATGCACGTACATATGTTTGTATATGTATGTTTGTATATGTATGTATGTTTGTATGCATGTGTATATGTGCATGCGTATGCTTGTGCATTATCTTCTTATTAGAAAATTACAACAAAATGAGCACTAAATCGATGAACTCCTTCATATGTTGATTCCACTCTTGTCCAACTTAAGAATACGATCACTTTTATGGCTTTTAATACATGCATTCTTTTAATAATCCATTAGAGAAACTGATGGCATTTACTTGAGAATTTGCACTTGTAATTTTTGTAAAGCAGCTTTACTCGACTCTGCTGGCGTTTTAACAAAACGAAATCACGTTGCGCACAATTGCTTAATAACAATTGCGAAAACACTCACCCAAACATGTGTATGCAGGTAGAATCGCCTTATCTGCTTATCCATCAGCACATCCACAATAAACGGTATAATAAAATCATAATGGGCTCAACAAACTATCACGCACAGCACAACAACATGCCCGGTCGACTGATGGGGCCACACTGACTAGCATAAAGAAAGAAGAGCGCTCTCACGACCAGACGAGCGCATCACTGCCAGCAGTTAATGAGTGGACCAATCAGCGATCAGCACCAGACAGAATCGTGAGCGCGTGAGCGTAAGCAGCAAAACGACAGCGAACACACACACAAACTGGTGACTGCTTATCTCTGGCTTGAGCTCATCGCGGCGCATACTCACGTTTGTGCGCGCGTGTGTGCGTGTGTGTGTGTGTGTGTGCATGCTGAGCAATGTGGCGCAACGTTCTCACTCGAATTCTGATCGCTTGCTTATTTTCTGGGCGCCGGATTTTTCGTCCGCTTAAATCACTCACAATTTAACACTCTGTTAGTTTGACATCAGTATTTGATATAAACATGTTTATATTAACAGCTGTACTATAGATTTCTTAAGAGATTTATGGTATGTGCATATAATTATTGTTATTTTTTATTCAATAATTTGTTCAACATTTAATGTATTTGATTGCATTTCAATTAAATCAGACTTGATCAGAGCTAAACCTAACATGAAACTTACATTTTTGAGTACAAATTTCCAGATGTTACTCGTCATAGGAATATATATGTATGTATGTGTGTGAGATATATTTAAAGTGTGTGTTGTGTTTCTTAGTTCTTTAGTTTAAAGGCCGTTCCATGGCGTTTCCGAAAGCTGTTTAGAAGTCGATGGGTCAGCCTCCAGGTGCCCAGGGCTGGGCTGTTGCCCAGGGCTGGGCTGCTGCTTAACCAAAAATAGAGAAAACTTCATGTACGAAGTCTAAAACAAGATTGAAAGGCGTCAAGCAACAAAATGAGCTGTCTGCGGCACGCCGAAGACTGAATACCCTTGCAGACGACTAGAACACACAGATTCGATCGAATATGGAAGATATATTGTTGGATCTTAAGCAAAAAATAAATATATGGCAACTATATAGTCTGGATATGGATCGGTTTTATTCTTGACAGACAATCGCATTTGATCAAAAGGAAGGGTATTCAAAAACTGCAAGGGTATTGAAAGGAATGCAACTAAAGGCAACTACAACAAAAGTAAGCAAAACAAATGTTTTGATAATATTTGTTGTTGTTTTTTTTTTTTTAATGTACAAATTACTTTATTTACTCGTAGAGTTGCGTTCGGGCAAATCGATTGAATTTGTAAGAGACATGTAATTACTATAAATAGCATTTAACATTAATGTAAAACGACTAATAATATAATAATTAATAATAATAAAATAATAATCATAATAATAATCAAAATAAGAAAGTTCTTTGTTTTTTAGTTTCAAATGTTAAGAATGTTTTTGTATTTATGCATCAATACATTTATCGTTAGCTTGAGGCCATTTTGTAGTTTTGCTTTTCCTTTTGATTTCGTTTCATTTCGTTTCGTTTCATCCTTTTTTTTTTTAATTGTTTTTTTTTTTTTTTTTTTGCCAAATTAGATTTTTGATATAACAATTTCTAGGCACACTCCAACTACAGTCTAATAAATATATATGTTTTTTTTTGTATAAAATGAAAACATGTCCAAGACTTGAAAAAAAAATCGAATATCGCGATAAATGCATATGTTGCCACCGCCCCCCAAGCCCCCCGCCCCCTCTCCCACAACCAACCTATGCTGGTCAGTTAAAACAGTTAAAGACATGCACGCGCATACATACAAACACACACACGGAGAGAGAAACAATAATAGAGAATGCTCGAGTATCAGAGGAAGTTTCGTTAAGTTTTAAAGCGCCTGCTGCCCGTTAGATGCCGCTGCGTGGACAGATAAAAAAAAAAAAGAAGCAAACAACACACAGACACAGAGAAAATAAATACATAATTTGTTTAACTTAAAAACTAAAACATATTTGATATTTAATACTTAGATGTAGCCTTTACACAACAACTCTTGTGCCGTTCGATTTCTTGATAGTATTTTGTTTTTGTTTTTTTTTTGCATTTTTTCCATTTTTTCGTTCATAACTCGCTATCGCCCTCTCTCTCTCTCTCTCTCTCTCTCTCTCTCTTGCTTTGCGTAAGTAACGTTACGCTCCTTTGTTTTGGAAGCGTTGTTATCTAAATGGAATACAAGTGTACGATTTTTGACCAACTTTAGCTGCCATGCGACTTAAGTATTGTATATGCTTTAACATAACCTATACATATGCATATATACATGTATATATGTATAGTCTGTCTCTGTCTACTCACAACACCACACTCCACTCTCTAACGGTTTTTTCTTACATAAGAACGAAAAAAAAAAAATGGAACATTTGGCCAATGAAATACGCTACAACAATTATGCAAGGCACATACATACACAATTCTATATGTATATCGATAAAAGTACATATATATATATATATATGTATGCTATATATATATTGTATAAAATTTTTCACTCGACTCGTTGCTTAAAGTTTAACATAATTACAGCGCTTTTTTTTTTTTGTTTTACTCGTTATTGTTATCGTACTTTTGTTCTCGTTACAATTCACTCGTTACTTTGCTTAAGAACTAACAAAATGTTGGGTACCCAGACAAAATACAAAAAAAAAAATGTATACATATATATGTGAAACCCAAGCGTGTACATATATATATATATATATATATAAATGTTTAACTGTGTTTTAGTTATTCTTTTTTTTTTACATGGATAGGCAGCTACACGATACACGATGTGAGCTTTATATATGTGTATATATATATATATATAAGTACAACTAGATTACGAACCTATTGGATTATATAATAGAGAACTCAGTTATCGTTTCAGATTTCAGATTTCAGGATGTTGACGTTGCCATATTTTAGCAAAAAAACAAAAAAAAAAAAACAGATTGAAATATATTATTAAAGCGGGACTCGAACGAGTTGCGATAGTTATTATGATATTTATGGAGCTTGCTGTTTGTAAATTAATCAAAAAATATATATATATATATGTGTGTGTGTATATGGTATGTAGGATAGTGTGTAGTAGCATGTAAATAACGTTAAATTAAGTAAATCTTTTAGTTATAAGTAGTTGGTAAGTATAAACATTAGATACACAATCTTCTTGTTAAAGCAGTCGAAATACAACGTTAGAAGACAACTTTCTTTGTTTTTTTCTCTCTCTTTTTTCTTTTCCAACATTTCAGCCCAGCCACATACATTATCCAATTAATTGCTGCTCCTTCCTCCAGCTGCCTCTCCACATGCTCCCATTTCATTAGATATATATAGCTGTGTGTGTGTGTGTGTGTGTGTGTGTGTGTGTGTGTGTGTGCGCGTGTGTGCATAGTATCGTATATGCATCTGTCTCGCTCACGCTCTCGCTCTCGTTCAGCGTACCTCTTCATTGTTTCAACGAAGAGTTGGCCGGCAGCGTGGCGGAGCGCTGCACATTCGCCGCGTACGGCTTGTAGGCGGAGCGTGTCGATTGGCTGCGCCGGCCGCAACGAGCGTGTTAGATGGTATTGTTGGTGATAATGATGATGGATACGTTATTCGGCGCGAGCGTACACGTTAGGTAGTACAAGAGAGCGAGCGATTCGAACGAACGAGCGCGAGTTGTTCGAACGAACGAATACAGGAGCGAGTGGTTCGATCGAACGAGTGAGCGTACCACATAGGAGCGAGTAGTTTCGAGCAAGCGAGAAAAGAAAAATACAAGATACAAATTAGCTTAAGATTAGAAACACACAGATAGCCTTCAATTAGCAGCGATTAAGGTAATTGTTATTATCTTTTTGGCAACGTCAATTGGGTAGGGTTAAGGCTAGCTTTTCTTCATCGTATATATATCTATTTTTTTTTGTGCATGGTATTTTTTTGTTTTTGGAAGGACAGCTGCTTTACCTGGGCGATATCTTGCTGCCATCGGTGCTGTTGTTGTTGGATGAGTTCGCCTTGTATCCACTCTTTTGGATACGCTTCAAGAGGCGCGCCACCCACAGCGATTGCTCCTCGGGCGTATTGGCCAGCAGCAGCATGTCGCGTGCGCTGCGCGGATCATGATGCAGCTTGCACGGCGCCAGCGGATCATGTTTATCCACGTGCTCCTTGTGTATCTTATTGCGGCATCTACAAAAAAAACATAATGTGTCTTGGTAGAACCCTTGGTAGTTGCTGCAGATGCTTACCTCTTGCATTCGTAGGCCGCCGGCGGCTTGAACATGGACCACAGCGGCTTGGCGCATACGTCACAGAACGACGGCGTATGATACGTAATGTGCACGAACTCATGACCTAGACAGAGAAAGGCAGACGATGAGAATGAGAGAGAGACAGAGAGAGAGAGAGAGAGAGAGAGAGTGTGAGAGAGAGACAGGGAGATGGAGTAAGGAGTTAATGTTTAACGTATAGAAAGAGACATCTCCGACCCCAGAAAGTATATATATTCCTGATCAGCATCAATATCGACTCAGATATAGCTATGTTAGTCTGTCCCTCCGCCTGTCTGTTTCTATGCGAACTAGTCGCTCATGAAACTTTACAAAAGTGCCTCTTGTTGTTGCACGCAGTACATATGTCGAAACCAGCTGGATCGGACCATTATATCATATAGCTGGCATAGGAACGATCGATCGAAAATTGGTGCTTATATGAAGAGTTTTTTGTTTATCAACATAGCCTCAACAAACTCGGCATTTGTTAGTTTAACTATGCTCCTCATATGTATTTTAAATCCTAACAACATCGGACAACTATATCGTATAGCTGGCATAGGTACGATTGGTCGAAAGTTAGGTTTTTGTATGGAAAACTTATTTGTTATTCAAGATGTTTTAAAAAGGTTGATTCGGCAAGGGTATTAGATCTTCGGCGTGCCAAAGCTACCTTCTTCTTTCTGGTTAGAAAAACGAACTACTTTGAATTAAAGCTGCAAGCTGGGCTTGCGCCGCCTTTTGGCAGAACTTTTTAGAGTTTTCTTTAGACTGGGTTAAGGAACCGTTACCGATCTTTACAGTTAAGGCTTACCCTTGTGCAAAATGGTGCCGGGTCGCTCCTCATTGCTGGCATGCAGCGTCGCGTCGAGCTGTTCATCGGGACGATGGGAGGCGCCCTCGCCGGCGTACAGCAGCTGGAAGATGCGCGGAATCTCTTTGGCATCGGCGCGTATGACATCGCCTTGGGTAACGCTGCGCACGTGATAGACTTTGCTGCAAAGGTGGCATGTGAGATGGGCATGTTTAGTATCCAGAGCGAGAGAGAGAGAGAGAGAGGGAGGGAGAGATATTTCAACTAACCTCAGATCGAGTATGAGCACGGGATCTGTTGTTTTATTCTTGTCATATTCCGTATTGTAGAAGATGATTTTGCGGGACGAAACGATCACATATTGGCGCTTCCAGTTTTGGCCGCGACGGCGATTTTGCTTATTTGGAACGGAGAGCACGCCTTCGAAGACCGAGTCCTGTGTAAGTGAGAGCAGAGAGGAGTGCTGAATCAGCGAGTAGCGAGTAACAATAGAACGAGATCAAAGAGAGAGAGAGAGAGAGAGAGAGAGAGAGAAAGAGAGAGGGAGAGAGTGGGAAAGATAAAGCAAAGTGTAACGAGTAACGAGTAGCGAGTAACGAGTAGCGAGGAACAATAGAACGAGATCAGAGAGAAAGAGAAAATGAGAGAGTGGGAAAAATAAAGCAAAGTGTATGTGTGTGTGAGTTGTGTATGCGTGTGTGTGTGAGTGTGTTGCGCAGTGCAGTATACCTGACTATCCTCGGGATCATTGTCGGCAGATGAGAGGGAGGCGGTCTCGTTGAGTTTACTCTGCAGATGCTCAATTTCGGTGGCCTTGCAATCGATCTCCATGCTCATCTTCTGCTTGGCCTGCTGATCCTCGACGGCCTGCTGCTGCAGGTCCTGATATTTAAGCAGCATCTGGTTGTACTTTTCGCGCTCCTGCGACAGCTCCTGCTGCAGGCGACGCATCTCCTTCTCCTTTTTGCGCAGCTCGGCCGTGGAGCGGGCCTTGACCTTTTGCTCTGCAATTGGCAATGGATTAAAATCGATATTGAAATTTAGGATGAGAGGGAAGGGGAGGTAGATACTCACTCGGCCAGTCGGAGTCGCGCCGATTCATGACCTCGGCCAACTTGGCAACGGCGACCTGTTTGAGTAGGACCTCGTTTTTGCATTTTTCACCCAGCTTGGCGATCTCCTCATCCTTGGCGGCGCGCTGTTGCTGCAGCTCGTCGATCTGTTTCTTGTGCTGCACCAGCAGCTCGTCCCATTCGCTGGCCTTCTGCTTGAGTTTCTTGTGCAGATCCGCTTCGGTTTCTTTGAGGTTGGCCAATGCGGCCTCCTTGGCATTGATCTCGTTGCGATGCTTCATGATGAAGTCCTTCAGTTCGAGCTCCTTGATGGTCTTCTCCTTTTCCAGATCGGCGACCGTCTCCTCGGCTATGGAACGTGCCAGCGCCTCGGAATCGGCGCGCGCAACAGCCACCTGGACCTGATGCTTCAGCGAGACGCGCTCCTCCTCGAGATCCTCGATCTTGGACAAACGCTCGGCGCTCTCCTCGCGATTCTCGTTCGCCTGCGTCTTGTACAGGCGCGAGAAGCACTGTTCGGCCTCCAGCTGGGCCTGCAGCTCCCGATTATTGGCCAATGCCTCGTGATGTGTGCCCTTCAGCTGTGTCAGATCCTCCTCGAAGCGTCGCTTCGCCTCCCGTTGCGTTGCCAGCTCCTTTTGCAGTTGATTTTCGCGCGAACGCAAATGCGCCACCTCCGAGCTGTGCAGACTGAGCTCCGACAGCAGCGAATTGCGTTTGCTGTGCTCCTGATCCAGTTGCGATTGCAGCGCGGCCACCTTTTCCGATTCCTGACGGCACTCGCCCTCCAGTTTCTGGAGGCGCAACTGTATCTGGCGATAGTCAACGGACAGCATGCTCAGCTGGCGCTCCTTCTCCTGCGAGTTCTGATCGGCCTTGATCCGTGCGGACTTCTCCTCGTTGAGCTTGGACTGCAGCGCCTTGACCTCCTGCAGGTTGGCCTCCTCGCGGGAGACGAGACGCGACTTTTCCGTCTCCTGGTGGGCCTTCACCTCCTGCTGGTAGCGACCCTGGGCGGCCTTTAGCTCGAAATCGAGACTGGCATGCGTCTTCTCCAGCTCGCTGATCTTCTCGAGGAGCGTCCGGTTGTCCTCCTGCGCCTTCTGTTCGCGCAGCAGCGTCCGTTCGAGGTCATTTGTCAGCGTTTGCATTTTATTTTCGGCCTCTTTGTGCAGCTCCTTGAGCTGGGAGCGCAGCGTTTTCTCCTGCACCACCTGCGCCTGCAGTTCGGCATTCTCCTGGCCCAGTTCCTCCTTGTGCTTCTGCAGCGTCTCAATCATTTCGTCCATGTCGCGCACCTTCTCCTCGTGCGTTTTCAGCGTAAAGCCCAGTTCGGCGTTCTGTTTCTTTAGCTTTTGTGTGTTCTCCGTTTCGCTTTTGAAGCTTAGCTCCATCTCGTGCAGCTGCTTCTCCAGCGAGAGCACCTTCTCATTTATGTTGAGGTCACGCATGCGCGTCTTCTGCTCATTCTCCAGCTTACGTTGCGTCTCCACAATCAATGCCTCCGCCTTTTTGCGCAGCTCAATCTCTACCTCGACCTTCTGCATGGCAACCTTATAGTTGTGCTGTCGCAGCGCCAGATCCATTTCGTATTCGCTGGCGATGCGCTGCAGTTCCGATTCCCGTTTGCTGATCACCTCGATCTGTTGCCGCAGCCGGGTGTCCTGTTGCTCGAGCGCCTCGCAGCGGGCGCGTTCACGCTCGAGCAGCGCCTCGAAACGCTTCAGCTCATTGGAATTGGATGGGCGATGGCGATGATTGTGTCCATGATTGTTGTTCGCATTGGCGCTGCTGCTGCTGCTGCTGTTGACCGACTGTGATTCCTTGGACTCGGCGTCGACGGTGTCGCTGGACAGCAGCTGATAATCGCCCGTATAGGTGAAGCCAATGAAGGGCAAGTGATTGCCATCGAAACTCTTGGGCACCGGAAACATCTCCTCCGGCTTCTCGTCCCGTTCGATATCCTCAAAATTGCGCGTATCATCATCGGACGTCAGCTCCGGCACCACCGGCGGCACGCTCTCCCTGATATTATCAAACGACCAGGTGTCGTTGCGAAAGAACGGATGCGCCTTGATGTCCTCGATGCCATACCGACCCAGGCGCTGTGTGCGATCGGTGAGAAAGGCCCGTATCAGGGCCTTGGCATGCTCGCTTATCTCTACCTCGGCGGGAAAGCTCAGTGAGTTCTTGTGATCCATAATCTTGCCATAGGTGCCCACCAGCGAATCCGCATAGAACGGCGTCTCACCGAAGAGCATCTCGTAGAGAAAGATGCCAACCGACCACCAATCGCATTCGCGTCCATATTCGTTGTCAACGCCCTGGGATTGCAGCACCTCGGGACTGATATAGTCGGGCGTGCCGACCGCATTGCTGGACACCACCTGGCCGTTGGCGCCCATGCGCATGCAGGTGCCAAAATCGGCTAGCTTCAGATGGCCATAGCTGTCCAACAGCATGTTGTCGGGCTTGACGTCGCGATGAACGAAGCCCATGTTGTGTATGGTGTCCAGGGCGAGGACCACTTCCATTGTATAGAATATGGCCCATTTCTCTGGTATCTCATAGTCGCCCATTAGGGATACGATATCGCCGCCTGGCATAAAGTCCATTACCATATATAGATATTTGCTGTCCTGGAACGCGAAATGCAGCTGAACAATCCATTCGGAATTCGCGTGCGCCATTATGTGACGCTCCTCCCAGAAGAAGGCCGAATCCGGTCGCTTCATCATCTCGAATTTGGACAGACGCTTCATGGCATACACCTGGCTGGATGACTTGTGCCGCACCAGCTGCACCTCACCAAACGCACCAGCTCCGATCAATTTGATGAACTCGAAATCATCCACATTCATGCGCAGCTGATTAATCCGCTGCGCCAGCGGTTTATCTGCAAAGAGTTTAAGTTTTAGTTTTAAACTTAGAATATTCGGCTATTTCGACTCGACTCACATTTATAGGCATATTGCTCAATGTTCTTGAGACGCTTCAGCGAGTCGTGATCGCAGTCGCTGACCAGCGCCGATACCGTGTCCAGCAGGCAGTCCACGTTGCAGATGCTGGTCGGATCCCGCATCTCGCGCTCCAGCGCCGTCGCTCTGTGTCCATAAAAGAAAAAAGGGAGACGTTTAGTAGGAAAAATCGAATTTAACAATACAAACGCAATTGCAATGCTGTCGATAGAATTCGAAGCAGACGCGCATGAATGTCTGTTGCACATGTATACAGAAATTTTCGGAATTTGCGCTAGCTGTCTCAAACACGTGGCCACTTTTGTGGTGCTTAACCGATCTTGATAAAATGTTCAACACTAAATCTTCTCAAAGGGTCAATTGCATTTAAATTGTGGCTTATATTGCTTTATTTATTTGATATTTATATCTATGAGGTAGTAGCGGGGAGCTGGTGATAGCTATAACATGAAAGATACTTGATATATATAGATATATACTATACATAAGTAAGCATATTTTAGAAACTTTCAAATATCTAAATAAAAAACAAGTAAGAGGTTCTAGTCCGACTAGGGGATACCCTGAACCCTCTTCTTCCAACATCAAATGCATATATATATATTCTATTTTAGAATCGACATGTCAAGTTTGGTGACTCTAGCTCATATTATTTCCAAAAATTGCTCATAAAACAGGTTTTCGATATCGATTTTAATCGATTACTTGGAAACGGGGAAAGTTATTAAATATCGAAAACAAACTCCTACTGCGTCGATACAGTGTTCATATATATTCTATAATCTGTAAAACGTGATAAGTTAAACGCCAGCTCTGGCATATCAGAAGCTGCACAAGTTTTCTTTATCGATAACATGCCGCATGTCCCAAAATCGATAAATATCGATCAGCGGACTCCGTTTTTGGAGCATATCTAGTAAACTATCAGAGCTTGCAACATACACAATTCGAGAGTATTTCTCTTTTGGGTAACTGCAAATTGCAACAATTTTTCAAAACTATTTCCGCAAAGAAAAAAAAGTGTGCAATGTTGCACAGTGTTATTAGGTCATTGCCAAGATATGATAGCACACTTCCGACAAGCAAAAAAGAAAAAAAAAAAAATTATAATAAAAATCAAGCTGGCAAAAGTGTTTACACAAAAATAAGTTTCGTAATCGCAAGCAAAAACATCAGCTCCATTATTTACATAAATGATGCGGAAAAGCGCGTTCGATTACTCACATGCTTTATTGATATACTATACCCCCCCCCCCCCCCCCCCCCCCCCCATCAAACACACCCCTCTCTAGGAAAAAAAAAACAAATACACAACTGAACAGCCGCGCACAGGGAATTTAATAGACATTTTGTCGTGACTCAACACTTAACTCCGCCTCAGGCTTGCGTAGACAAATGGGCGCTACGAGCCTCAAATTAAAATAGTCTGGCAACCATTTGGCAGTCAGGCTTTCGCTGATCTGGTCAGCTGGTTACGTGCGTTGCCTGCTTATCAGCAGGCAATTGATTTTACGCTAGCCGGACGGAGGCTATGGGGTATATATATATATATATATATATATAACCTTGATTTGTAACAATAGCCGAGTCGATAAAGTACTCTCCGTTTGTCTATGTCGCAGTAGACCAGATCGCAGCACTCTATTATTTATTGTATCTATCTATATATCTATATTGAGTTCTTGTAGGCACAACTTTTAGGCATTTCAAGATTTCTTGAGCTTTAAGTTCACGAGCTTTAAACAGAGCAGAAATGTCTTAACTCTATCTGAATATGGCTTCTATATGATCAAAAGTATATACTCGAGCAATCAAGGGTATTTCAAGTTCGACATGTCGAGGTGTTTCTTCTGTTTTATTTGGCGAAAGAACTTTATTGAAAATTCGCTCAACGCAGTTGCAAACCAAAAACAACAACAACAGTTGCAATGGGAGGAGGGGGCCTTGACTTTATCGCGGCAGCAGAGCTCAACTGTTGACTTTGATAAATTGTTGAAAGTGTGTGCGTGTGTGTGTGTATGCATGTGCATGTGTGTGTGTGTGAAGCCGTTGATATGGCTTACTTATGCGACGATGCGTCGCGCTTTCTTTCGGTGCATGCGAACAGACAACAAAAATAATAGAAAGAAGAGCACATACCCAGTTGCTTATACACTAACCGATGGCATTTTGATTATGTAAAGAAATATGCCATCACAGGGAATTCAAGCAGATTTGGCTAGGCATTTTTTTTTTAACATTTTTTCAAATCTATAAAAATGATATTCATATTCTAAGCAGATTTAAAATATCTAATAAATATATATATATTATATATATTATCCATATTCGATTATGCGATGGCATTTTGATTGTGTAAAGAAATATGCCATCACAGGGGATTCAATCAGATTTGGCTAGGCATTTTCTTTAACTTTTTTTCAAATCTCTAAAAATGATGTTCATATTGTAAACAGATTTAAAATATCTACAAAATATATATATATTATGTATATTATCCATATTCGATTATGCGAGGAATCATTGTACCATTCAGATCAAAGCTTTTTTGCAAGGGTATTCCTTAGTCGACAGCAAGCTGATAACGGTTCTTGTTTCAGTTGTTGCGTTGTTTTCTGAATGAACTCGAGAACTCAAGCACACACACACACACATACGCACTTACTGTTATGCCATGCCCTACCCCCCCCCCCCCCCCCCTCTCCCTATGAGCAATGCAGAAACCAAAGAAGTTGCTTCGCTATCTCCGCAGCAAAAGCAGCTGCAAATTCATTGAAAACGCAGCACGCACACACTCTCTCTCTCTCTCTCTTTCTCTCTCTCACGCGCGCGCCGCTCACAGAAAAGTTTTGGCAAGATTGATTGACTGTTTGAATGACAGACTGAATCACTAATTGAGCAACTGTTTAACTGTTTAAGGGACTAGGAAACCAGCTGAAATAAGAGCAAAAACTTTATAAAAATTGCGCTTGTTATCAAAGTGGAAAATAAATGAATATGTATGTATATATTAAACCAAGTGCGGAAATCTAAATTAAGTGTATTATAATATTAAATGCATTCAGCAATTATTGCAACAAAACAAAGCTGAGCGAAAAAAAAACAAGGGAAGGGCTTAAGTTGAAGTTTTGGATACAAAATTATACTGTTCACATCTCGTGTACATGATGGGGCAACTAGACTAGTAGATACCCTAACTGCACACATGCAAACTCTCTTATAGATAAACCAAACTATATGCAAATAAGAATGTGATTTCTGCTTACTTAACTTTGGAGCTTATTGTCCGATCTTTATGAGAATTGAAACGCTGGAAAACGTACTGGACTTTAGCCCCCCCTTTTCCTTAATTCTCGAAGGAATGGGGGAGAAAAAAGTGAGGAGCCTAAAGTATCCATAATCTGTGCATATTATAGGAAAGTCGTCTCAAAAACTGGTACATCTAGCTCCTAAAACTCTCGAGTTATGTTGGTATATTTTTCGATATCATGAATATGTCATGTGATATCAAAGAGTTTTCAATACAATATCATAATGTGGCTGATGTAGGAGTATAGAAAACTTTAAAAATTCCTGAGCTTCGATAGTTTACGAGATCGGGTCGGGCATAAAAATTGACCAGGCCAAACTGAACGAAGGGGGAGGGGGAGGGGGGGGATATTGAAGTGTGGCGTAGAGCCGCTGACAGACGTCGCAAAATTGATACTAAAAGGTGTTTGAATTGTTGTGATTTCATCATCGCCGCTTACGGCATGACAGAAAAGCCAAAAACAAATAACAACAACAGCAACAACAACAACAACAAACTTGGAAAAGTCGAATTTTCAAAAATGCTGCGTTCAAATTGTGTGCGTGTGTTTTCTTCTTCTTCTTTTTGTATGGCGAGCAAAACGGCAATGGCAACAACAACATAATTATGAACAGCAAAGCAACTAAAATAATAATATATCTAATAAACAACAACAACAGCAACAACAACGACGACAACATTATCGTCACCTAGAGACAATATAATTGTAAATTTAATTTATGCACGCACCTAAATAACAACAAGTCTCAGCATATTTGTATTAAACGCCGTTTTCAGGCTAAACATTTATAGCTAGTTTTCAAGCTGAATTCTTTCTTTAGCATTCGCTTTTACACCAATACAAACGCGCGCGCGCACACGCACACGCACACAGGCATGCACACACACATGTGCAGCGATAGCCTAACTGTAGGTATTTGCGCTATTTCGTGCTTGTTGTTGTTGGTTTTTGCTCCTTTTTTTTTTTTTGGTATTTTTTTTGTTGTTGTGCTCATCTGGGCACACGCTATTACACGCATATTATTGTTGGGCGCGCTCGAGCAGAGCAAAGCACTATTTCACACAAAATCAAAAAGCAAATTCGAAATTCATTTCCGTGCCAATGGCAATGCGCGCGGGCGTCTCTTATTATTACCATTATGTTTATTATTATAATAAATTGCTGTTGTTGTTGTTGTTGTTGTTCGCTCTTTAATGGCCAAGTGCATTGCAATTGCCGTATCTGCTTTTGTTTATGGGCAAATGTTTTTGCCAGGCACACACACACACGCATAATTTTTAATGGCCATATGTATTTGCTGCACACACACACGCAGAGCTGCTGCGTTATATGGTTTATAAAAATTGAAGAATTTTGAATTTGCATTTTGATGCGATACGCAACGTACCGTTCCGGCTCACACAAATGCAGCGCGGCGGGCATCCAATACCACATCTCTCTCTCTCTCGCTCTTGCTCTCTCTCTCTCGATCGATAGCAATGCGGGCGCGGGGTGCGGGTGGGCCCTGCCCCTTCAGACAGACCAGACCAAGACTATACGATCTATTTACTGTACATCGATCGATATGTATGTATGTGTGTGTGTGTGTGTATATATTTGTATCGTTGTCCCACACTGTTTGCGATTTAGTTGGAAACGCGTTTCACGCACTGCGATGCGCCGCCTGCAACTGACGGACGGGCGCTTCGCGTTTTGGCCAGTTGCAACTTAGTTGTCGCTTTTTTGATTTTTATTTATTTTTTTTTTTTTGTTTATTTTTGGTTTCGTTTGCCATTTGGTTTGCTTACAAATTTTAATGCGAAAATGGCAAATTTATGAAAAGTCGCATGGCCAAAACCGTTTTGCTCACTCGCTTGTCAATTTGATTGCCGCCGTTGCCGCCGCTTTGAACATTGATTATGCTAGGTGTTTGGCACTGATGTTTTTCGTATATACCCTACACTCAGTTGCCCATGGGTATATTGCCTTGGCGTTAATCTTAACTTCTGTCTATCGGAGCACCTTTTGGCCTCTCGTCTGGCTTGGGCTAAACAAATTATTAATCGATATACATATATATCGATAGCAGCAATCGATTTGTGAACATATCTTGCAATTTGCAGAAACAATTTACTTCAAATTGATCATTTTTCGTAGAAAATCTGATGCTTTTTGACATATTTAATGAAATGGATGTGATATTGTCGCCGCTGATCACACAGGGTATCTGCTAGTTGGTCACTGTTTTTTTTGGTTGTTTTGCTAAATTTGTAAATCCTAAGTGAACAAATCTGAGCGCTCATTCAGTTTTAGACAATTAATTGAACACCAGTTGCAATTCGCGTCTCGTGTTGCGCTCTACATGTGTGTGTGTGCGTACGTCTGTGTGTGTGTGTGTACGTGTGCGAAGGTTTATTTAGCGTAACGTATACCCTGTAAGGGTTAACTAGCCACTCGATGCCCTGACAGATTTCTGTTGCCTTTCGGCTACACGACATTCCCACCTGACATGGAATAAGGACTCTTGCAACACCACGTGGAGCATGCCCGGCCCGTGCTTGGATGCAAATCGTGGTCAGCAACGGCTTTGGTACTGATCGACCCAGTTTTGAGCAGTGTATGAGAATGGGCATGTGCCTGGGCACTGTTACTACTCACCGACGCCGCCTTTCCACATCCATGCTAAACGTCCTGTCGTCTTCGGCTGCGTCCTTTTGCCAACTTCAGCATGCAATTGGGTTATGTATAACGCGCTGCCGCTCTCCTAACCTTCCCTTTAACAGCGCTGTGGGTATATTGATGCGATATGCATTAGTATATGTTTGTTGGCAAACCAAAACGAAGGCGCAATACTCTGTTCACAGTGCGAAAGGAGCTGAATGCATGTGAGGCGCACAGCGATTAACTAGCTGTCTGACAGTTTTTGTGGCTACTTTGTGGCTCGACATGAGCATGGGCTTCATTTGCCGAGAAACTATATATAATTTGTTCATACTCGAAAAGCATTTGACAACGTTAGGCATAACAATTGCAGCGCCTCAAACACAATGTGCTCAATGCGAAATGTCGAAACCAATATACACTTTTGCAGCTTGTGAACAGGGTATGTGCAATTAGCCAAGGCCTGGCTTACCTGCGGCTGTGCGCCTCCAAAAAGCAGCTTGAGTCGATGTATTTCTATTTGGCGCTGCAAAACAACAAATATATACAAATTGTTGATGTCTTAAGTGTTTAGCTTACCTGAAGGAATTATTATTAATATTACTGTTGTTGTTGTTGTTGTTGTTGTTGGTGATGAGGTCAGAAGCGTGCCAAAACCACTTGAGGATTCAAATGGTCTGTGAAAAGCGTTAGATAAATGCCTAAGCGACAGCAGGCCCTCAACGTCGGTCGCCAACGCCACATACGGGCGGACGGACGGACGGTTGGGCGGGCGAGCGGGCGGGCGGACGTGCCCAGGCAGCGCACACTTTTATGTCTTGTTTGTGGAATAGTATAGCAAATGTCCAGGTAAAATGATGGGCTCGCTCTTTGAATTGGCACTAAATTTCTAGTTGAACGAATTTGATTTTTTCTTTTCTTCTGTTGTTGTTGTTGTTATTTGTGTGTATTTAATTTTTCTCTTTGACTTTTTGGCAGCAAGTTTTGGCGAAACAAGCAGCAGCCGCAGCAGCAGCAGCAGCAGCAGCAGCGACAGCAACAGCGACAGCGACAGCAGCAGCAAATGTCGTTGTGTTTGTAAACATGCAATGTGTGGCACATCGATTGCTGTGTGCGCTGCGCGCATGCAACAGTCGCAAATTGTTGATTTATTTTGGTTTTTCTGTTTGCTTTAGCTGAACGTGGCCGAACACTTGGTTAAACGATTTTTTTGTTTTGAGGATTTTTACAGGAGACACAGAGCCCAAATCCAAATGGCAGCGTCACAGCAAATTGTTCACCTATTTACGATCACACTAAATTTTGCCCCCAAAAAAATATACCAAATGAGCATTTGGCTGCCACAAACGGTCACATGCATATATATATTTTTTTTTTTGGTATTTTACCAGTTGCACTACTCTTAACAATAATTCAAGTATGCGATCGTGTGGTATTTTTGCTGCTGTTGAAATTACTTGCTTTGGTTTCTATTGCAATAAATTATTTTTTTTTTACTGAATCTACATAAATATATAGAAATTTTGTTGCCACTTAATTGTATGCATTTGATCAGAATAAAAACATTGCCAATATATATATATCGCACAGTGCAATCGAATAAGAAATCGATAAGTCAAAAGTCAGCCCTTCAGGTGCCTTGAATGCCGATATTTTTTCAACTATATGCTCGCATTGTATTTTGCTGATTTGGAAATTTGGTCACACTGCTACATTGATCGACAACTCAAACACAATTCAAACAGTTTGGCGCCAAATATTCTGTTGCCAATTGACAACATGACATTTTGTACAATATTAAACTGTTTCTATGGATAATTTACTGAATGCAGCCGGTTAGCTAATCATTACTGTATTTCGATATGCAAACGCAATAACAGAGATGTTGACCAGGCCTAATGCGAAATTCCATTTAAATTCACAAACAGCTTTGTCTGTGATATTTGTATATTCAACATTTAAAAGATGCAAAATACTTAACTTTGGACGTCAGCGGAACGCCAGTATATTAACTGATGTAATCTTCTAGCCAACATGTATATGTGTACATGTGTGGGTTTCTGTGCTACAAGTATAGCAGAGCAAAAAGTAGGCAGCGGCACATTGTGCGCGATTGCTGAGGCTCGGTAAACATTCGGCTTTTGTCGGCAAGAAAACCTGATTCGGCTTGTGTGTGTGTGTGTGCGTGTGGGAGGAGTGGGGGGGGGGGGGGGGGGGGGCAGCAGGTTAATGGGAGTCACACTCACACACACACACACACACACACACACACACACAGATAGGTGCATATGCCAGCAAAGGGCTGTCCAGGCGATCGGCGCTTGTGTGAGTGCAGAGCGTAAACGTATAGATAGAGATAGAGAGAGAGAGAGAGACTGAATGCAGTATTTGTTTGGTATTTAATGCTAGAAAACGACAAAAACAAGCAATTACTGTGCTGTGTGTATGCTCAGTTAACCGTTATACGGCAGGCAGCGACAGTCAGAGCCAGCGTCAGAGTCAGTGTCAGTTGTGACAGTCAGTCGTTAAACGCGTCTCGCCAGCCGTGGACATAGAATTTGCAGCGCGACTTTCAGTTTTGCATGCGCACATCAAATATCCAATACATAGATCCGTTTTGTTAACTAGCTGTACACGTGTGTGTGTGTGTGTATGTGTGTATATGTTTTAAATTTAAAACGAAACGCGCGCGCAGCTCCCACATAAATTTTACATACATATAAATATATGCATATATATATATATAAATCAAAACAAGTATATATGTGCCTATAAGTAGCATATGTAGACTAGATCTATGCATATTTTTTTTGTCTTGTTTTTTTATGACAATCGCGACGACAAGATCGTTTGTCGCATTCGCAACTTGTGAGAGATCTATAAAAGTGTATTTCAAATTTTTTTTCCGTTTTTTTTTTTTATACATAAAATAGTTGTGAGTCCTATTTAGAGAGAGAGAGAAAAACTAGTACAAATAACATTATTAGAAGAACAAAATGGTCGAGACCGTGGTCACCGTCGAGCGCACAACAACAACAACAACTGGCCCACCTGGCGGCAATCCGTCCGGCGGCGATAATGGCGGCTTCTGGAGCGCGATACGGATCAATATGGACTATTACAGAACGGCGCCGGGCATTATAAAGATTGTGCAATTCGTAAGTAACAAACAACAGATGGCCGAACGAAAGTTCGCCTGGAAACAGTCCGAAATTATGATATGGCAATACCATATCCCTTACCCCTAACCCCACCCCCGCCCCGCCCACCCGACTGCGCTTATCAGGCATATTGTCTAAATGATATGCTGTGTAAATTGAACTTTTATCAATAGATTTCTGAACGCCTTTTGTCAATTAATGCACATTTCATGCCACCTGGCCGCCATCATGTCTGATACCCTGTAAACGTCAAGAATCCATTACAAATCGGGCATGATAGCGTGACAAGGAGACAAAATTGTAAAACTAGCGAAGATTAAGTTTGTTTCGGTTTATCGATGACTTCCGATAAATATCGTTTGTTTCTTTGTATAACTGTAAACGTTCCAAAAATCGATAAGTATCGATCTTAAGATGCAGTTTTTCTGCAATATTGAAAGATCTAAAAACAACAACAAAATAATTGAATCACTTGAAATTCATTTGTGGCGTACTCAAGCATATGTACAGGGTATTTGCCGGGTCGGGCACGCTTTGCTTTCTCTATAGCAGCTATCTATAAGTTACGTGTGTGTGTGTGTGTGTCAGGATCTCATTAGACGGATAAGATAGGCACCGCCAAAGGGCCTAATGTGGCCATGTGAGCAACAATTTGTTGTCGATCGACTTTTTCGGCCAGAAATCGATCACGGCCATATACAATATGCGATATATCAGATAATGTCTGTTAGCTCAAAATTCATTCATTTTTGGCCGCTGAATTTACAATTTTACAGTGAAAAACTGAGAAAGTTTCAAACAGCTGTTCGATTTCACAGCAAACAATTGTGCACATATACTATATATATATGTACTTGTGTGTGTATGTGTGTGTGTGTGTGTGTGTGTGTGAGCCCAACTGTGGGCGCGTGGGAAGCCGCCAGCAGTTAGCCATGCAAATGGCCACAACCCACAATAACCACAACAATACCAACAATGCCCAACTCGTTTATAAGCATATAATAATGTAATAAATACATTAGATACACTGCGCAAAATTTTGATTGCAATTGCAAAGCACTTTGACGCCCATATTAAACAATTACAATATTGATTTTCAATTAGAATCATGTGAAATCTAGCTAGAATTAAAATTAAATACCCCTTAAAAAGCAGCCTTTGGGCTAGAAAAGTTTTGTTTTGCTTTCAGAACTTATTAAATAACTTATTTAAATTTAAAAAAAAAAAAAAATTAAAAAAAGTGTTCAATTAATAAACTTTGATCAAAGCTGGAGTCTACCGGTCAGCGAACCGGGGACCGCGAGCGTTTGCCAGGCGAGCCTTTTGACACGTGAGCCAACTCCGCGCAGAGCCCGGCTTATGCAGAAAGCCCAGCTTATTACAATCAAAATGCAGTTGAAATTGCGCCTGACGTTTTAAAACGCAGCTAAAATTGTTTTTAAAAGTGTGAAATTGAATTGAACACCAAAACAGGGTTTCAATTTATGGCCATAAAAAAAGAAATTGAGTTCGATGTTTTTTGCTGTGTGCATGTCGCCCCCGCCCACAGGTGGCCGCCAACACGCAACAACAAACACAGCAGCAGGCACAACCACAACAACAACAACATTTGACACACACACACACACACACACAACATGCGAACAGCCATGGAGAAAGCTGCGCTGGGCAAAGATCAGGCACAGATTGTGTTTCTGTCAAGCCCAACTGCTAATGCCACACACACACACACACACACACACACACACACACACACACACACGCACACACACACACAAGCACACACATGCGCGTGTGTGTGTAAGGACACAGCACATTAATAATGCCACAATTTGTGGCCAGAAAATCAATAAAACTTCAATTCGAGACAAACAAATTATATAATTATAGGTAACCCTTCATTTGCTTGTTAAATGCGCATGCCCTCTCTATGCGCTTCTCAAAAATCAAAACCTGTCACAACTGTACTTGGTTGATTTGTATTGAAGCCATTTAAATGCATGTGTTGAAAACGAGCCAAACAGACTGCGTCTTCAGCATTAAATGCATATTTTTTTGTTCAACGTTAATCTTATCTACCTCTTTTTTTTTTTTTTGTTTTTTTCGACAACTGATAGTCAGTTTATACTTAAAGAAAAAAGACTCGAGTACACAAAAAAGTTAAGTTGAAAATGGCCATAAATATAAGCTAGTAAAACCTTTTTGGGAAAATAACATAAACGCCTAAAAGTTTAAATTTAAGCATTTGTATTCGAGTAATCGAATTATAATATACAATTTACACATCGTGTTCATAATTGATGGGTTTTTTTTTTGTTAAGTTATTCAATAAAAGAGAACAGCCACAAAAAGTCTAGTTCCAAGATAAATCTGATTTCTGAAAGCTCTAATTCTGCATTGTGAGAATATGGGTTTATGTCTGAATGGAAGTTTTCTTGGGCATCTATTTAAGAAACTTAAGAACTGGAACCTTGAGTAAAAATATTAACTGGTTCGGTTCACGGTTCTAACTCAGTGCCTCGACTTATGCTTTGGTTCGTAAACCTGGCCATGAAACCAGGCTTCGTTTATAGCTATAGTATAGTATGAAGATATACTCTAATAATATTAAACAAAAAATCAAACAAAAATTGTGTTTCAGTTCAGCTTAAGGTTCGTCTGTTCTTTATCAAAATAATCCAGTTCCATGTTCAATTCGAATCCCGAACTCGTTCTGGTTCTTTTTAAAAGCTTCAAAGAGCCTTGATTATTAAAACAATAATCTTGTTATTGTGATGGGAATGTCTATTAGGTTAACTAAGCTAATCGAGTTGATAGCGCTCCAGATTACAATTAGCTTATAATCCTGGCCGGGCGGAGCTTCTGGTCACATGATTCATAGCGGCACGTCGCATTACTCATACGCCCCGATATCGGATCGATAATGGACGTTGTAGTAATGCTTGACTATCTGGCCCTGGCCAGATAAGGCCAAACTATCGGCCTCTTACCACCTGGTCTAGGCCAAGTGTTCGTCCTTAGCCTGCGCGCATGCATACATTTGCTGGCATTACTCATACGATCCGTGGTCGTGGTGTTTTTTTTTTTTTTTTTTTTGGCTCTTGTCTATTTTCGTGAATCTTATCGACCATCAAACAAATAAACTGGCTGACAAACAAAACGATAGCCCACCAAGACGCACCAGCTGGTCGTCGTATCAGCGGACTATGGCTATAGAGCGCTATATAGCGATAAGATTGTAATGTGCGTTCCAGCTCTAGTTCCAGTTCCAGCTCCAGTTCCAGTCACTTTTCTACTAAGCTAACGGACTATGGCTATAGAGCAATATTCGTTCCAGTGTCAACTCCAGCTCCTGTCACTTTTCCACTAAACTAACGGACTATGGCTATAGAGCAATATTCGTTCCAGTTCCAGCTCCAGTCACTTTTTGCTATAGAGCGATTGCAATATGCGTTCCAGTTCCAGTTCTAGCTCCAGTCACTTTTCCACTAAACTAACGGAAACTCAGGCTGTTTATGTTGGTCAGACATTTGGACAGCATGTTGACAAGCCTGTTGTTGTCGAATCGTGTACACACACACACACACACACACACACACGCATACGCACACACAGCTATTTATATCGTGCCAGGGTCGTTTGTAAGAATAATCTACATACATATATATATATATGCTCGAATCGTGTCTGTAGCGCATATTTAACCAATCTACATACATATATGCAAATTTGAACGAGGATGGGCAGAACGTACGATAAGAACCGAAAATTGTGCCGTCGCGACCCACGATTTATTTGACTATTTCAAAGTATTTTAATAGGCATTACGTAAGATATTGCATATACGCATACATATACATATACATACATATACATATACATATGTATGTATGTATTTGATATATTTTGGAAACTGTTTGCCTGTCTATGTCTATTTACTACATTGTTATAGATTGTTGTGGCCCAAAACGGAAATTATGACACACATTTATTTTGTTTTCATGTTTCTGCTGCTTTGCCGCACACAAAAATCTCAAGAATTTTTTTGACCAAAGGCGTTTGCCGCCGCCGGTTTGTTACTGGGAAAAGGCGAGCACAAAGCGTTTCGTTTCAAAATATGCAAAATCGTGTATTTTATGGGTTAGGGCACGAGCTGAACGTTGACTAAGTACAAACGCTCAAGTGAGCTCATCTTGAAGTTCGCATTGACACTCTGTCATAAACAATTACGCTTGTTTTTATTTGTTTGTTAACTCAGTCAACACACACACACACACATACACATGCATGCATACAAAAATGCTGTCCGATGACGTCACACACGACGACGAGCGCAAGTGTGGAAGCTGCACTATTATCGTGTTATCGTTATCGTGCTGCCATTGAACTTCAAAGGCAAAGGCCGACGACACTGATCCTGCGTCCCATGTGGGTGTTGCCATATGATTGCAATTCAGCGATTTGTTTGCAAATGGCGGCTTTGCTGTCATGCGCCATCGATCAGGCAAGTATGCACACAGCTGCATACACAAGTAAATTTGTGTACGCGTATATGTGTGTGTGTGTGTGTGTTGAAGTTCTATTTGATTTTCATGCTTCACAAGGCAATTTAAACATTTATGATTTACACAACGCAGACGAATCAAATTATCAAAGATCGAATCACATGAATTTGATTGTCGTCGGCGCTTTTCAAGCGTAATTTTCTCTTGCTTATGCTCAAATAGACAAGCATAACCTATATACATACGTACATATATGTATGTGTATATGTATGTATATATTGTGGCCAGTGACTGTTCTATATTAAAAACAAATAGATAATTGCTTACCATATCCATTAATAAATATATTATGTTGAATATTTCGAGTTTCCTTTTAACACTTTGCGCTGTTGCAAATTTGTCTGAATGCGCTTCTCAGCCGAGATGTCTAACTGTGTAAAAAATAACTGTTTATGGTCAAGTGCAGGCTGCAAGCACACTGGGGTTCAATTAACTTTGCGCGCCAGGGGGCGCTTTTACTTCACGCAATCATAAGTTCACACACACACCTATTAGCAGTGCGTGCGTGTGTGTGTGTGTGTGTGCGGCTCAAAACGAAAAACACAAGCGAAAGACAAACAATAACATAAACAAGAACCAGTTGACTTCAATCGCTGTTGTTGTTGTTATTGCCAGCAGGTCGCCTTTGGCTTTGGCAATGTCTGCAACTTTCAGCTTTCACTTTTTTCTTGCCTTTTGTTTTAAACAACACACACACGCACAGAAAGCTGTGTGCGCACACCTGTACGATTGCCGCCTAATGCTTATTGCTATTTAATTGTGGGCAAAAACAAATCTAAAACTCAAAATGGGCATGCCATCGAAATCTGTGCCATCGCCGCCCACACACATACAGACCTCACACGTACACGAACTGACCGTCAAAGTGCAGCGTTGCCACTGCCAAGTCGCTACGCACTTTTTTTCTACTTGAATCACAATGTGAAAACGGGCATATTGGTTTTGTGCAATGCTAGTCCGTCTGTCCGCATAAACGCATGTTTCTCAAGGAGAGACTCGGAACTTGAAATATATGTATTCTCTATTCTAGAATGGGTAATTACAGAGTATTTAGCAGTCGGTTGTACCCGACTGCAACGTTCTCACATGTTATTATGTTCAAATTTTACTCAGCTCAACGATTTGGTAATTTAGTATTTATGGCAATTAACTGGTTGCCATTGTTCAATTGCTTAAGGTGACATCATGACATCACCAAAAAAAAGAAAAAAAAAATGCCAATTGACATCAAGAATTTGCTTGTCTACTAAATATGCATATTTATGGATTGCTTGAATTCATTTCAGATATTGGGCATCATTTGTATGGCGCTTGCCTCACCTGCACAAGCGGCTGCGACAAGTTTCTTCCTGTTCGTTGTTGTCATCTCTTTCATTATTACCATCCTGCTGATAGCCGCCTATTTTCTGGGCATACGCGAGGCGCTCAATGTGGCCGTCAATTGGATATTCTCTGTGAGTATTTATTCGAGCTGCCTGGTCATACTGCAGCTGCATCAAGCTAACCCGCTCTCTCTCTCTCTCTCACACACTCTCTCAGGAACTGTTAACAACCGCTGTGCTGACACTGCTCTACTTCATTGCATTCATTGTGCAGCTGGCCAGATGGGCCGAATCGAACACTAAGGGACATGGCTCCAATACGGCGGCTGGCGTTTTTGGACTGTTCAATTTCTTGGCCTATGCGGCGGGCACATACTTCTTATTCCTGGCGCACAGATCGGGCGCCACCCATTAATGTCCATTTGTAGTATAGCCGAGCTGCGATCTGATCTGATCCGATCCGATTCGATAGACAATGGCACCATTTTAATAGTCACGCGCACACAAGATAAACAACAAAAAAAAAAAAAAAAAAGAAAAAAAAATAAAAGGCAAGCAGCGCACCCACCACGAAAGCCAACGTAGGGTAGTTTAAGTTTTAAGTGCAATTGTTCGTAAAGTTTGTTTTTGTTTTCGTTCTTTTTCTGTTCACTTACATCTAACGGCAACAACGAATGTGAACAAGCTCAATTGAAAGTTCGCTCAGTTCAGTTTGGTTCTGGTTCAGTTTAGTTCTGGTTCAGTTCGGCGCATTCTCGGCCCGCTCGGCGCGTGCGATTTGATTTGTTTTTAATGTTATTTTAATACTTACTTTAACTTTAACGCCTGCTAACATTTAAGTTCAATAAACACGAGGCAACAAAAAAAAAACTAAGTTCAATAAATTATTCGTATTTTGTAACTGTACATAAATTGGCTGTTCTTATTGGTATATACGCTGCGCAGGTGTGCAACTCGGCTAACATGGGTGCTGTCTTAGCCGTGTTACACACCGTCAGCTGCACAATTTTCGATCAGTTTTAATTAATGCTCTTGCACCGTAGGAATGTTTTTTTTTAATTAAATGAATTTGCAATCGTAAATGCAAATCGATTTCAATTAAATAAATTAACTCATTCGCTGTTGGTGCGCAACTTGACTGAATGCGGATCAGCAACAATAGCACAGTTGCATGATCGACAAAACCGTTCATTAACCAGTTTTTAGCACAGTTTTGTTACACTTAACATATGAATACAGTGAAAAAGATAATAGTGCAGCTAGTTTAAGCTACTTGTTTTCAATAAATATAATAATTTGAGCTTGCAAACTGGCAGCTGGTTGGCAGCTTGACTAAGGCAGCTGGTTGGCAACTTGACTAACACTGCGTTGGCACAGTTGTAGCCGAGTTTCACAACCGGCCGAAAGAGAACAAAAAAAAAAATGCAAATTTGCTGCGCAGTCTTTAATTTAATTTTAATATCCTTTAATTCACTGTCAATTTATGGTAAATTTCTGAAATAGCCATCACAAGAACAAAAACGATAAAGAAAAGTCCGAAAATAACATGGATCCACTGTCGAGTTGTTGGTAACAGTTCACACGTTCATGTATTTCGATAAGCGTTTGATTTGAGTCTGTTTCTCGAGATAATTCCAATGTTTGTTGATCTATTATATATTGATGGGCTATTTCGGGAACATCCACCAGCTCCGTGTTCTGCGACGGGAGACAATGGACAGTAGCCGGGACGTTGGCGGTGGTGGGGGCGAGGCCGGGGGGTTGGGTGGGGAGCGGTGTTTATTAATTTATACGTACTTCTTGAATTCATCATAAATAGCCAGAACAAGGGCGCCGCCAGTGCCGCGAATAATATTGGAAAAGGCGCCCTTGAAAAAGGCAGCGGGTCCCTCCTGCTTGGCAATCACTAACCAGCAGTGGGCGGTATTTTTATAGACCATCTCCGATTTCTTGAGGCCCGACTGCATCATCATGCGACGACGGACCGTATCGAACGGATAGGATGCGATGCCAGCTATGGTGGTAACCACCTGGGCGATACCCCAGCTGACATAGAAGGGTGTATTCTTCGGATTTGGCAAATGATCGCGACACGTATCGTAGAAACCAAAGTATGCGGCACGATAGATAATAATGCCCTGTACGGACACAATAAAGCCGCGATACAGTCCAATCAGTCCATCCGATTTCACCACCTTTCGGAGGCAGTCGATCAATCCATTGAACTCGCGCTGACCTCCCTTGCCAACATCTGCGGCCAAACTGAAAGTGCGCAAAAAGTATGGCCACATATTAAAGATTAACAAAAATCTAGCAACACTGGCAACGCGTTATACATTTAAACGCGTCGGTCATACTTTTGGGTACAAAATAATTTGACCAAGTGGCAGCCTTGTCGCAGGTCGCAGTCTTTTGGTCTTTGATTTGGAATTCAGCTAAAACTTAAAAGACTTACCGAGTACGAGCAAAGTCCAGCGGATACACAAAGCACAAAGAAGTGGCGCCGGCAGCGCCACCAGAAGCCAAATTGCCCATGAAGTGGCGCCAAAATTGTTTCTTTTTATCGACGCCACCTAAAAATACCTGAATATCGAGGGAAGAGAAAAGCGCACAAAAATGCCAAAATCAGGGATTTTTTCAGTATTTGTTCAAGTTGTGCGCCACAACCGCACGCACGCACGCACGCACACACACACACACACACGCGCACGCGCACACTCACCGACTTGTACACATCCTTGAAGGCAAAATTAAGAGCCTGTGTTGGAAAATAACGTATCACATTGGCCAAATTGCCGCGCCATAACGATGCAAATCCCTGTTCGCGTGGTATGCGCACAAAACAATCCACAATACCCTTGTAGCGTTGATCCTGTGCTATCTGTTTGGATACCTCCTGCACCTGAAGGATCAGTTTGACGCGCTCGATGGGCGCCACCGCGGTCTTGGCAATGGCGGCCGATACGCCGCCCATCATGAAATCAATTAAGAAGGACTTGAGATCGCCCCCAGCTCTCATGCCGCCACCTTCATCGCCCATTCTGTCGACTTTGTTGTGACTTCTCTTACGAGTTTTCCTTCTCCTTGATTGCAAATATTTCGATGGGTTTGGTTTTCTGTTTGTTTTTCTTTTTATTTTATTCCTTACTTTTCCTTTTGGTTTCAACTTCGGCGCTTGTGCGTTGTGTGTTCCGTTTGATCTGCGCTAGCTCTACAGTTTCCAAAAGATATTCAAGTCCGACGAAAATAAAATGTTAAAATACATGAAGTTTTTGCCGAAAAATTTGGGTTTATATTAAAACCAGTTATGTGTAACATGGAACAATTTTGAATTGAACATAAACTATGACGTTCAATTGCGAAGACTACTTCGATTTTGATTTGGTTTTTCAATTTAGTTCTGGCTAAAAACATACCTGGCAAAATACGTCAGTTTTTCCAAAAAAAAAAATAAAGAAAAGTTAAATTGGGCGAATCACAACATTTGCATTTGTATAACAATATCCAAGTATTTTTCAATAGATTGAGGTGAGTTTATCAATCGGACGAATTTGAAGCGTTCGCTTTTCTTTTCTTCATTCACTTTCACTAAGGATTTTCACAGATTTTCGCAGACAACAAGAAAATTGCATGCACTCTTGCAGGCTCTCTCTCTCGCTTTCTTTTTCTTGCCACCAGTGACACGTTTAAGAACGCGGGTGGGAGAGAGAGAGAGGGAGAGAGAGAGAGCGAGAGAGAGAGAGAGAGAGAGAGCGAGCGCGAGTCAAACGAAAAGACAATTTGTCTACTATTTTTATCAATTTTTATATTTTTAACCAACCGCAGGTTGATTTCTTGTTGGTTTGTTGTTACAGCAGAGGCTAAAGAAATTGTTGTTCGCATATTTCCTTTGTATTGGGGCACTCCATTGATTTAATAACAACATGCTAGCGATTGGCAAAAGGAGCGTGATCCTGTTGTCGTTGTTCCATGGCGAAACAGAGCCCAACTAACAGCAGCCGCGCTCTGCCACAACAATCACCTGTCGAACTTAACAAGAATACTAGCTTATAAATAATATTAATGTCTAGAATGTTCGTCTGATTTTTGTTTTTGTCTCTCCTTCTGCTCTGTTTGGGTTGTGGTGTGTTGTTTGTGGGTTCAAGTTTGGTTGTTGCTGTCGCTCCGCTCCGCCCATATCCAGCTATACAGCTCCTTTTGCTTATCATCATCATCATCATCATCATCATCCTCTTCTTCCTGTTGTTGTTGTTTTCTGGCCGTCCTTGATGTTTTTGCTATTTATGCAAGTGCAATTAAATTATATTCCAGTTATTATATATAATATAATTTGATAATTATATCGGGGATTATTGCTGATGTTTCTCGCTGTTCTTTAAACATTTTTTTCTTTTGTGGTTTCCTTTTAGTTGTTGTTACAATTTATATAATATAATTAGCTGGTAGTGGTTTGTTGTTGTTGTATTTGTTGTTGTTGTTGTTTTGAATAATTTAATAATTTAATTTACAAGAACTTCTTGATTTCATCGTACAACACAAGCACGAAAGCACCGCCAGTGCCTCTGAGAATGTTGGAGAAGGCGCCCTTGAAGAAGGCACCGGTGCCTTCCTGCTTGGCAATGGTGGCCCAGCAGTGCAGTGTGTTCTTGTAGATGATCTCGGTGGACTTGCGGCCAGACTGCATCATCATGCGACGACGGACAGTATCGAATGGATAGGACACAATACCAGCAACAGTTGTAACAGCCTGAGCGATGGCCCAGCTAATGTAAATGGGTGTGTTCTTGGGATCGGGCAACATGCCGCGGGCGGTATCGTAGAAGCCAAAGTATGCAGCACGATAGATGATGATGCCCTGGACAGAGACGCCGAAGCCACGGTACAAGCCACCAAGACCATCACTCTTGAAGATCTTGGTCAAGCAGTTGCCCAGGCCGGTGAATTCACGAGCGCCACCCTTGCCAGTATCAGCAGCCAAGCTAAAAGTGAAACCCATTCAAATTAGACCCAATCGTTATTACTATTATTATTATGCCACTTACCGAGTACGAGCGAAATCCAATGGGTAGACAAAGCACAGAGAGGTTGCACCAGCGGCACCACCAGAGGCCAAGTTGCCCATGAAGTAACGCCAGAACTGGGTGTTCTTGTCAACACCACCCAAGAAGACCTACAATAGACAATGGGGGCAAAAGGCTGTTATAGCGAATCTGTTTGGAAATGTTAATGGTAATGGGGGTATGCTTACCTGCTTGTACTTGTCCTTGAAGGCAAAGTTCAGAGCCTGAGTTGGGAAATATCTAATAACGTTGGCCAAGTTACCGCGCCAGTATGAAGCAAAACCTTGTTCCTTTGGAATGCGGATAAAGCAATCAACCATACCCTTGTATTGCTGATCGGGGGAGATTTGTTTCGAGATGTGCTGAACCTGCAGCAGCAGTTTCACACGCTCGATGGGTGCGACGGCAGTCTTTGAGACAGCTGCGGAGATGCCACCGGCAGCGAAGTCCTTGGCGAAGCCAATAGCATCGAAATCCTTGCCCATTTTGCTATAAACACGCCAATTGCGTAAAATGATTACAAAAATTGTCTATTCCTCCTTCTCCTCCGCCTTTCTCGTTGTTCATCATCTCAATCAGTTGTCATTTGTGAGGTTAATGATTTGTGATATTTTGCATTCTTGATAATTACTTGCATTACGTATGAGCACATTTCACTTATCGACACAATTTTAATATTAACAACAAATTGATAGACACCAAAAACCAAATGAAAGTATTTATAACATGCATGAATGAAATTTAAAACGACAAACGGCAAGCGCCCAACTTAACGAGAGCAATCGATACCGCGCGACAAACCAATCGATTATCGATACCAGCCCGCAATCGTATCGAGTACTTTTGCGGCAGTTGGTTAATCGAAAGGCCAACCAAAGTTCGATGAGCTCTGCAAGTCGCGGCTGCTTTGCGCTGCGTTTTGTGCAGATGCAACACAAAAGAAATGCGTTTAAATGGGTTAAATGATTAAAGTAGTTCAACTAGATTAAACTAGCTAAGCATGCAAATGATGATGTTGGTTAATAAACAAATGATGTAAGATGTAAGATAAATCAAATAAGACCGGCAGCAAGCCGGCGGCATTATAAGGCAGAGTTTTGTTTAGACTATGGACAGTTGTTTTTTTTTTTTGCTGTCGTCTGCGAAATCAGCAATTAAAATTTCAAGCATTCATATGTATATATACGTGTGTGTGTGTGTTGTATGTTAATTTCAAGCATTGATATGTGTCTGTGTATGTGAATATGTGTGTGTGTGTGCGCGCTTGGCAACGTTCGTCGCCAGGCGGCTTTGCAATTGTTTCGTGTAGTTGTATTGGTGCGCTTATTGTTTTTATACGAGGCACATGAATGTGATGGTGTTAGTAAAAACAGCGCTGCCAGTTTGCGGGAATTTTTTTTTTTTTTTTGTATTTCTGCTTATGAATCAGTTTTGAAACGCCCAACTGCCACGTTTATGCATTTAGACACGGGCTGAGCTTTCTTTAAACCGGCAATAATGGATTAACGCTTTCTCTCAATTAAGAGCAAATTTGGCAATCAGAACATGTTCAGGTAGATGTGTGTGCAAACATTGCATAATTTAAACGCTTGTATAACATGGTGATAGATGGCGCTTTCAATTATTGAAATGCCAAGAGCACAGCTGCTTGCCAATTGGTGTAAAGGAGATGGCTAGCTACAGAAAAATGTATGGCCAATGTTCTCGGCAGCTGACATTGGCCAAAGTGTAGGCAAAAGAGGGAGAGAGAGAGAGAGCGTGAGAGCGCTTTCTTTTCGTGCTGTTGTCTTGTTAAATTTAGATTTCAAGTGTAGCAGAGCCAAATTGATTCATTGTTATTTGTTTTTGTTGTCTTAAATGTGGCACAAAATTAAATTAGCAGCCGCCGGCCGAGCCAGTCTAGGCCAAATTTTCATTGACGAAAACCGCATTTATGTAATCACTTTGGGCACACAACAAGAGCGGCGCTAGTCATTTAAGAGAGAGAGAGCGACAGAGCGAGAGCATGCAAGAGAATTTTATTGCATGGCGAGTTGTGGGTGTGCTGAGGGCAGACGCAAACAACTGTAAAAAGCGTTGGCCTGTTATCTAATCTCCAGAATACCGTTGATTGAAAGAGCTTTTGCAAAGAGCACGCGCGACTGTGATGTAACAGTTTCAACGGGCCGTAGAAAAAATAAAATGTAATAATTATCATCAGCAGTAAGGGACAATAAGAGCTAGACGAAGTTGCACGTGTAACGGCTTTCGTTATATGGCGTATTGTTTATCGCTTTGCACTTGCTTGTGAAATAAAAGAGGGCAGACGCCCTTTAATGTCGATTGCATAACTGCCTTTATCACCAGGCAAAAAAAAAAAATATTGAAAATTGTTTAACTACATAATTGATATTCAATTGTAAACACAAGACACGCTGATTTTGTTATTGCCCAATCGATTTTTAATCGGTTTATGCTTTTGCACATTTATGTAACGTTTTAAGAAAAAATTTCTTTTATTCCAAGCAACAAAAACGAAAATTAGAAAAAAAAAAAAAAAGAAGAAAAAAACTAAATAGAACACCAATGCTTGCTTTCAATTATTATTGCTGGTCTTCAGTTATTGTTATTGCATCAATTAATATTGATATGCACTATAGATGCAATTAATTTGTAATACGTACAATTTGTTTGTGTTTAAATATCACAGCACCGAAAAAAAAATGATTTATCCTTATTCCTTGCGAAATCAAAGGTCTGCACCGGACGGCAACTAAATTGCTTGTGAACGCTTCGGTACAGCAGAGGCGGCGAGCTAGCCTGTGCTGCGCTGCGTCGGTCAGCTGCCTCTGCCACTGTTGGCAGAGGCAGAGGCAGAGGCAGAGTCAAGTTCAGGTGCTCGCTCACGCGTCGCAGTCGCAGCGCAACAGTTGCACGAGAGTGAGAGAGAGAGAGAGCGTGAGCGTGAGGGTCGCATAACGGTAACAAAAGCGTTTAAGCCCAAACCATTAAGAGACAGTTGGCAACAAATGCTAGACAGCACAAACACGCACACTCACACGCACACAAAGCTTTAGCACGTGTGCGCAAAAGCAGCAAATGATCGAGAACGAGAGAGCAGATCAGCGCGCCTATCATCTCTTCTATATATACATATATGGTTTATCAATGTATATGTCTAGCAGTGACAGCAATGAATTCAATGCCAATCGCATTGCATAACACTGTTAATCAGTTCACAGGCAGCCGAGTTACGGGCCGGACACTGATAAGAAAAGGAAGTGAGAATAAAGAGGCATATGTATTTACATAGTAATTGTATTGGCCAAAAAAAAATATCGAGTTGAAAAATAAAGCGTATGTGATGGTTTTGTATTTTAAACAATTGTTTTTCATTTACCCCTTTCGAGGTTTGCAGCGCCTTCACGGCAAAACTGAATGCTTGCCAAAATTGTAAATTTGTACTCAGTTGGCAACTCGCCGACGTCAGCCAGCGTCTACAGCGTTGACGCCCGCGTTCACAGCGTAGCATGTGACTGACTAGTGGAAAATTTGACGCATGTGCTGCGCTCTCTTTGGCACTCTCGCGCTCTCGCTGTCTCATGTTCTCTTAAATACTACTACCAGCAAATGCGACGTCACAGGGCCATTTGCAGGCGGAAGGCAGCAAAATTGAAATGTGCGTACTGCGATTAGATAAACGCCGCCGCTACTAATACAACCTTTTTATGTAAGCAATTTTCAAGGTCTTTGAAATGCCGACAATTACATAAAAAAATGAACACTAGACGCTGTCTGCCGTGCGGCAAATGATGGCAACGCGCCAAAAATGCAGCGGAGTTAATGCAGGCCCCAAACTCAATTGGGGCAGCTATTTTAAGCAAATAAGTTCAAGTGCGCTGGCCCTGCCACACAATCAGATTAATCGGCTAAGTACGGCAGCATGTTAATGAGAGGGTTGCCAGACAGGCGTCACATAAACAATTATACGCCAACAATAGAAAATCAACCTATGCATGAAGTTTCCAGAACTTTAACTGCTGACGCATCGTCGAGGGCGTCGATTTATTCTATCGCTTGCCAATTCCAACAGTTGGCAACTGCAAGAATGCGAATTCGCCTTTTACGACAATGACTGTTTCACAGTACCAGATAGGACAGGACAGGACGTTTCAGCTATGTTATCGATGGTTGGCATCAGTTAGAAAACGGTAAATGCAAAATGGCGCCAAAAAGGCCACACAAAAGGGCAAAAATAAATACAAAAATCACATGCGGCATATTTACACGACGCGTTAGCTCTGCTGACGTCACAAAGAGCAGCAGTAGCAGCATCTGCTGTGCTCGCCGATTGCATCTGCCAAATCAACCGGTTCTGGTTTTTGAAAGCATTTTCAGCCAGGTGAAATGTAAACGTACATTTTTTGAGGGTTTGAACCCCGACACAATTAAAGCGGTCATTGGTCAATGGAAGAAATTTGCTCTTAGACTTTCAAGAAACAAGAGAAAATGCAAAAAAAAATATATACATATATATATATATATAATACACCAGCACACACACATGTATTTATTCGCTGCGATTCTTGCGCGTGTAATGGCGAAGCGTGCGAGCGAGAGAGCGACAAGCACATGGAATTCATACGAATGTACATGTATGTGTATGTATGCGTGTGCCGCTTTTCTAGCCGCAATTGTCACACTTTTAACAATGAAAAAGAGTGAAAATTCTGCACATATACATGTAAAAAAGTGGGTATATTCAATTAGATTCATTACAAAAGCAGCTGGCGCAAATTGTACACATGCAAGCGTCTGTGTGTGTGTGTGTGTGTGTGCGCGACAGCTTGCTTGTGTGGCACCGTTTTTTTCCTCTACTTGCCTTCAACTTTTTCTTGCGAAAATTTTTTTTAGGTTAGAACTCGTGAGCGTTCTTAGCACATTGCAGGTGTGTGTGGGTGGGTGCATTGGAAAAGAGGACACGGACACGGACGATTGTTTTACCTTGCGAATTATATTAGATGCTGCATCATTAGTCTTAAATTTTGCACAGCGCTGCGCTTTCGTCTGCGAATAATTTTGTGGTTATGTAAGCACAATTTATGCATCATTTTTGTTATTTTCATATGAAATTAATTATACATTTTCTAATGGCGCCGTGGCCCGTGGCCACAATATACAGTTAGATTCATACACAGGAATATTATACCAACACCGACACATAAAAAAAATAGGCACATTACATAACTAAAAACTAGTGCAAGGTGAACGTGAAGGAAAAAAAAAGTCAATGGCAAATTTATAATGGATGCACTGTTCGTTTTTCTTTTTAGTTGCAGTAGTTCGCAATAAAAAAAAGGGCTGTATAAAAGAAAAGCACAATACCTTCAGTTATTAAACTTCTTACAAAAGTCACAGAATAAAAACTTCTTTTGCAGAAATAGAATTTCCCACTTGGCGATGAAATAAGCCGCGTGCTCACTTAACGAACGCTATTCGTGAAGTGTTCGTAAAACGTGAGCAGTGTGCTAAACTATCGAGAGATCTTGACAGAAAATATATCGGTGTACCAAGACAGCTATCGATGGTTGTATGTGACCATTGCGATATGTTGATTACACTCTAATTGTATGACTTACATAAGGCTAATATGTTCAAAATAATGTATATTATTAAGATTTACATATTAATATGCATTATTATATTAAATTCAAATCATAAATATAGTTATTTAAGCAATCTGTTATATGGTTTTAAAATAAAAGTATCGGCATTGTTGAATGGTCACACTATCTTTTCTAGAGTCGAAAATCAACAAATATCGACATACCAAAAGTTTTTGACATTCAGTATATTTTGAGCACTTGTCAACACTAAATAGAAAAGTTGGGAAAACGTGCGAGTGCGTGACTATTCTACTACGCTGCCAGAAAAGAAAAATTAATATTTGTGCATTCAATTATAGAAAATGACTGGTCGTGAGGGCGGTAAAAAGAAGCCACTGAAGGCGCCCAAGAAGGAAGGCAAGGAGCTCGATGATGAGGATATGGCATTCAAGCAAAAGCAAAAGGACCAACAAAAGGCGCTCGAAGCAGCCAAACAGCAGGCTTCCAAAAAGGGACCCCTTGTGGGTGGCGGCATTAAGAAGTCGGGCAAAAAATGATCGCAACGCCTAAATAAACAATTATTATTTTGAAGACAAACATACACACTGACACAGACAGACACCCGAATACACTATGCAAATTGCATTTGCAAAAAAAAATCAGTTTTCGTCTATGTAAATTGACCAAAATTGAGCATTAAGCAGTTTACACAATTAATTTCTCGTTTTATACTTACGATTAAACACAAATAGCGGATTAAATATTGTAATAAAAACAACAAATGCCGCATTCATTCTATGCACAATGATCAGGGCCTGCGCTAGAGATGGCCGCGTGTCGCTTTCTCGGCCCGACACGAACACGAACCACATTTCGGCACAAAAATTCCGATTTGCTTGGTATCCCAAACTATTTTTGGCTTTTCAGTTCTATGACATCATAAAGATGTATTTGAAATTGAAATTAAGCTTATTACGCGCCAAACTCTAGGCTGAGGTGCTTTTACAAATCATTTGGTTTATTCCTTTTGGTCCGTCATTTGTTAGTACATTCCGTGTAGGCACTTGGAAAAACTCTTCTCTCCTGCTCTTAATCATACGGAAAGCTGGACTGTGTGCCCGGCAGCTGCACTGACTTGGAGGCCACTGTGCAGGCGGCCAAAATGTGCGCGGACAGCTTTTTTGCCGGATAACGCGCCAAGTTGTGTGCCAAGGCGCCAATGAAAGCATCCCCGGCGCCAGTTGTGTCTACCACCAGATCAGAGGGCACAATTGGTGCTGGCACCAGCTCGTATGCCATTGGATCGGCCTTTGAGGCGCAAACGGCGCCCAATTTGCCCAGCGTTATGATCACCGTGTTGGCGCCCAGCTCGATGAGGCATTTCAGTGCTGCATTCGCCTCACTGGAAAACGTTCAAGTTATATTATAAGAATTTATAGAGGATCTTTGGGCTAGCGAAGCTTAAATACCCTTGCAGAGATTTGGCTGATATACATACAAAAACTTAATCAAAACATGACAAACCCTCTGCAAGGGCATTCAACTGAGCTAAGGAATTTGTTACTTAATGCTCTTGATGCTCTTCACGCCGATGATGAGCGCCGCCTCCGTCTCGTTGACACAGAGAATGGTCGGCAGACGCAGCAGGTCCACCGGCAAGTGTGCCAAGGCTGGCGCCGCGTTTAAAATGGAGATGCCCCGGAACTCGCGCAAAGCGCACAGCGTTGCCTCAATGGGCGTCTCCAGCTGGCAGACGAGCACCTTGGCCTGTGCGAATAGTTGCGATGCGCTTGCCACATCGTTGGCGCTGAGCAAATTGTTGGCGCCCACCACAATGATGATGTTATTCTCGCCGCCGGCGGACACAGCTATTTGGGCAACGCCCGTTGTTTGGCCGGCAATCTGTTGCACATGCTCCACGTTGATGTGCTCGGCGCGCAGCTGGTTCATGTAGTTGGTGCCAAAGCTGTCCGCGCCCAGTTTGGCAATGAGCGCCGTTTTGGAGCCAAGTCGTGCGGCTGCCACACACTGATTGGCACCCTTGCCACCGAATCCGGTCTGGAATTTGTGGCCATGCAGCGTTTCGCCCGGCTTGGGCAGACGGGGTGCATAGCTGGGCGGGGGGTATAAAAGTAGCGGCTGCACTGACATTGAAATAGTTGCAACGTTCGTTCCACTTACCAGATGAAATCTATGATGGCCGAGCCAAAGACGAGCACGTCCAGCGGCTCGCTCATTTTGCAAGGGCGCAGAATTTCTAAGTGTGTGTGTTTGGGTTATGCAGTGCGCTTATCTCAAGTGCCGTGTGTGTTTGCCTTGGATGATAATTGGCAATAGTTGGTAGTGCAGCGCCGGCGGCTTATCAACGGCACTGCGCCGTCTTTGTTCTGCCCGGCAGAATCGGCGCGTTGGTCTATTGTGACGTCGCTGCGGTCGTTACTTCACAATAGTGTCGTGTACTATCGATAACTATAAGCAAACAAACAAGCCTATGAGAAATTATGCAGTTGATACGATGAGGGCAGACCAACGTCTAAATTATTGAGCAAGATCATCTCCTGTTAAGATGCACGAGTTTTTTTTTTTTTTTGATTACAGCAGAAAAACGTTTTCAACTTCCTAAAGTAGCGCACACTCGATAATTTAAGGTAACGATTATCGATATCTATCGTTTTTGAAAGGGTTACGAGTGCAATCTATAAAACTAACAAATATTAACGAAAATATATACATTATACTGCATTTACTTTCGCATATGCAACTTTACCAATACAGACCAATGTCAAATGTGCAACACAAGGGAGTCTGCTGACCACTTCTTTTTCAGATGCACGAGATTTTTGTTGATTAATATCACGCTTCAAATCTTCAAACGGTTGAAATCTGCTAAGGAATAACTTCATTTATGACCCTCTTTACGTAAAGAGGTTATTAAGTTTGCGGGCGAAGACAATTTAGATTTCCTTAGAGTTCGCGAAGGCACGTAAACAGAAAACGTCGAAGCCGCACCACACTGCTTTCTTGAAAAACTTGACACAAGCGCGCGATAAACTTTTTTGAGCTGAATTAATCGTGCATCCTATCGATATACCGAATGACTGCTCAAGCGATTAAGTTCATTATCGATAAGAAAACTAACGAAAATTTCAGCGTATGCCTTCAATGTTATTAAAGGAATGAAAAACCTTGGTTTTGCTTGTGATTTGAAGAGTTCTTCTTTAGTCGCCGCGAGCCGTTGGCAATATCGAAAATGTAGTCTATAAAATTCCTGACAAGGTTTCTTATTGAAATTTGATTGTGGCACTAAACTTAAAGTATCGTTTTTCAAAGTGCAAGAAAAGCAATATCGATAACTTAAACAGTTTTTGAAAAGTAGCGGTATCGATACAGTATTGTTTTAAGAAGTTATCGAAAAGTAACACAAGTGCCAGCCAACCGCTCTAAATATAAAAGGCTGATTTTGAAAACATACAATTAATTTGCAAACATGTCGCTACACAGATTTACAAATACTTTTAGACTGGCAACCAGAGTAGCTGGTAAGTGTGACCAGCTGAAATTTACTGATTAGGATAATTGTTGTGCTCTAATTGGATTTATTAAACCCGAGTCCAACCCGACCGGTACAAAGTCCGAATCTGAGTGTGTGGCATTCAACTGGCAGCAGTTGCAACAGCTTAATTAAACCTTGCACCATTTACCTTGGCAGTCATGCAGCCCCATCGCAACAAAACACACAGCAGCAGCGCTCAGGCCGCTAGCGATGTGGCCGCCAAGTTCAAAACTCTGGCCATCAGTTCGCCCAAGCCCTTCGTCTTCCATGTGGAGCTGAATCGACCCAAGCAGCTCAATGCGATCAACAGGGATATGTGGCTGTAAGTGTTAATATCATATATATATACAAATACATCACCATCAATTATTTTGGCTTGCTCCACAGCGAGATCAAAGACTGCTTCGAAACGCTGGCCATAAATCCGGATTGTCGCACCATTGTTCTGTCCGCGGCTGGCAAGCATTTCTGTGCCGGCATCGATTTGACATCTATGATGAACATGGGCCAGCAGCTGGCCGATTGCGAGGATGTGGCACGCAAGGGCGTTGTCCTGGAGCGCACCATTAAGCTCTATCAGGACTCGATTAGCGCTGTCGAGCGTTGTCCCAAGCCCGTCATCATGGCCGTGCATCAGGCGTGCATTGGTGCCGGCGTCGATCTAATTACCGCCGCGGACATACGCTACAGTACACAGGATGCCTTCTTCCAGGTCAAGGAGGTCGACATTGGCATGGCCGCCGATGTTGGCTCGCTGCAGCGTCTGCCCAAGGCAATTGGCAGCCAGTCGCTGGCTCGCGAACTATGCTACACGGGTCGTCGCTTTGAGGCCGCCGAGGCCGAGCGCAGCGGTCTGGTCAGTCGCGTATTTCCCGACAAGGACTCTTTGGTGGTCGGCGCCCTCGCCCTGGCCGAGGATATTGCCAGCAAAAGTCCCATCGCCGTCCAGACGACCAAGGAGAGCATGGTCTATTCACTGGAGCATACCAATCAGGAGGGACTCGATCACATTGTGAGTGCCTGGCTGTGCTATCTCTTCCTATGCAATATGCTTGTCCTGTACGGGCTTTATATTAATCTTTGCCCTTTTGCCCATTGCAGCGTATTATCAACAAGCTGTATCTGCAATCCGAGGACTTTGCCCAGGCGGTAGGCGCCCAGCTCACCAAAGACGAGAAGCCCGTGTTTGCCAAGCTTTAAGAGATTCTTATTTATGAACTTGAACAATTAAATGTATTTTGTTCTTTACGTTTTTTTTCTCGTATACTTAGCGTGTATGTACATGGGCCCTGGGCGATCGGAGGAGTCATGCGCGTGATCTGATCACAATTGGTTATAAAAGTTGGAAGTAAATTATGACTAGGAATTTTGGGGGCAGCCGTGTAGGCAACTACTTGAAAAGATCTTCCAGTGCGCGCCGCTCCTTGACACAGCCGGCGGTTAGCACCTCGATCTGACCCTGCTCATTGATCAGTATGTCATCCTCGATGCGTATGCCAATGCCGCGAAATTCATCGGGCACATCTGTGCGCTTCTCATCGATATAGATGCCCGGCTCCACGGTGAATACCATGCCCGGCTGGAGGCGTGTATTGCGCGGCACATGCGGCGTATCGTGAACATCCATGCCCAGATAATGGGATACATGATGCGGACAGAACTTGTAGCCCTGCGTGGCTAGCTCCTTGTGATCGGTCAGATCCTTGCCGACCAGTCCAATTTCTTGCAGATATTTGCCTAGCCTGTAGCAGGTCGTCTCAAACATTTGATCCAGCGTCTCGCCGCCCGGTTGCATGATCAGCTCTGAAAACACAAAAATCAAGGCTTAAACAGGGATCGGCGCTTACGTCAGCTGCCTCACCAATTGTCTCCTTTTGCAGCTGCTCCATCATGTCGTAGAGAGTTCGCTGCGGATCCGTGAATTGGCCGCTCACGGGCCAGGTGCGTGTTATGTCGCTGGTATAACCGCCGTATTCGCAGCCGGCATCCATCAGCAACAGCTCCTGCGGCTGCAGCAGCTGTGTGTTGTTCACATAGTGTATAACGGTGGCATTTTTGCCGGCGGCCACCACAGGCGGATATGCCAAATAGCTGGCGCTGCGCATGCGGCATTTAAAGTCAATCGAGGCGTATAGCTGATGCTCCGACTGGCCTGGGCGTGTCTCGGCCATGACCTCGTTGAATGCATGCGAGGCTATCGAGCAGGTGCGACGCATTAGCTGCATCTCGGCGGGCGATTTGATCAGACGCATATTCTCCACGAACGTGTAGACGGGCAGCAGCTGGGTGCGTTCGTTGTTGCACACCTGCAGCATCGCATCCGTCACAGTGGGCAGCTCCGATTGCTTCAGATCGAACCACAAATGTGGCTTTAGCTGGGCGATACGTGCCGCCAGAGTCTGTTGGAAATTGTCGATGGGATGTGCTTCGTGGACGCCAAAGAGCTGCACAGCATAATCGGGCCCAGTGCGTGGACCATCCCAGAGCTCGGCATGTGGATCCTTGGGGCGCATAAAAAGCGTTGACTGTACCGTGCCCACATCATCAATGGTCAGCAGTAGCACCGAGTCCGGCTCCAGACAACCGGTTAGATAATAAAAGTCAGAGCTCTGACGGAACACATACGGTATCTTGCCACTCATATACTTTTTGGACGCCGCCCCAATGACCAGCTAAGGAATTATACATGGCATCAGCAACAAGAACAACAACACTGTCAACAGCTTATCTAGGCCATACCATGTGAGACTTGGAGGTGCGTCCATTGAACTCATCACCAAAGCTGCCCGCATAGGCCTGCAGGCCTTGCATAAGCTGAGAGCGACGTGTCTGAAATTCGGCCTGGCCCACGCCGGGCACCAGCTCGTTTGGCCTGATCAGATGCGGATGCGTTGCGCTTGTCGGCTGGCCGAGGGCGCGCAGTCCGTTCTTTAGAGCATCGGCGACGCCGCGCACCTCCTCGGCAGTTATTTGCGATTTGCACATTCTGGGCGCCGTATATGTGGAGAATTTCGGCTTGGTGCCAAGGGCGCGCAGCAGGCAGAAACGTGGCAGGCGTTTGAGTGCAATCATAATAACGATATTCGGCAGTGGCAGCAATTTTAATTAGTTGTTTTAGATGTGCGTTCGCTTCGCTTTGTTAGTATATGGCACGAAATTTGTAAATCTATAGCAAACATAAGCAAATGGAATAACTGACAAAAACAAAACATTTGCCGCTACGCTTTAGTGATGTCAACAAACAATTTATCGATATATCGACGTATCGATGTATCGCTGCAATGCGATACTTTTGCAATAAATCAACATTTATTCTTAATTAAATCGATGGCGACTGCTTCTTTTTTTTTGTGATGACTTAATATAAAAATGTAGAATTGGAACTTGAGCATTGCCAATCGTGTTCACTTTGAAATTTAGCATAATATCAAAAATATATCGATGACAAGATTCGCAAGGGATTTCAAAAAATCGATACAGATTTACACAACACACTGCCGCATTATTCGCGTTTTATATATGAGCATTATTTTAGTGATACAATTCTCAGCAATACCACCGCAATAGCAATGGCAAATGAAGTAAGAAACGCGTGACAGACAGACAGACAGAAACACCGATATATATAATACATATATATTTCTATTCTTATCAACTGCAGTGCGGAGTGCTCCGTTTGCCGGTGGACTACGAGTCCATACGCTTCAATGACTGGTCCATCAGCTACGAGAAGTCGCACATACTGAAGAGCATGTGCCATTTGGGCAGCGACAAGTGCTGCGACAAGGACGACGCCAATCGCTGTGATCTCTGCAACTATCAACATTCACTGGAGCTGCCACATCTGCCGGACATGGTGTTCCACAAAAACAAACTGGTGCTCCAGCACAAAGATGGCGCCATTATGGAATTTAAGCCCATGGATGCGCTGGCTCTGGTTGCCAATGGCAAACAGGCCGCCTTGGAGGTGGCCTGCGCTCAGGAGTGGCGCGAGACGCGGTAAACCCGAATATAATCGTAATTACACTAGCCAAGCTTGTGATTTATAAGAATATTAATATGATTGCAGCGCCGAGCAGAATATGGAGCAGAAATACAAGCCATTTGACTGGACATTTACGACAACATATCAGGGCACATTAAATGATAAGTTTCGCTCCGAATTGACGGACCAGACGCTCAACAAAATGAAGCTAATGCAGCGCGAAAATATTCTATTCTATCATGATCTCACACTCTATGAGGATGAGCTGCATGATCATGGCATTTCCGTGATGAGCGTTCGCATTGTGAGTAGCCCCAGACCCCAGACCCCGGCCCCAAACCCGGCCAGATACATTTGCATAATCGATATAACGAGTTCCATCTGTCTGCCTGCCTGCCTGCTTGCTCGTCTGTTCATTTCCATGCAATTCACGTTCTCTGTATTCATTGAAGATTCTTTGATCAAGCTCTTTTTTGTTGCAGGCAGCACCTAAGCCGAAGTCTACTGCTTCAGATCAATCTATTATCTAGCTGCATTCGAAGCGATCGGTTAATGATTAAGTTCTTGTATAAACAACTTTTTATACCCTTGTGTAATGCATAGAAGGAGACATCTCCGACCCAACAAAGTATTGATATTCTTGATCAGTATCAACAGCCGAGTCGATAAAGCCATGTCCGTCTGTCTGTTTCTATGCAAACTAGTCTCTCACTATATCATATAGTTGCCATAGGAACGATCGGTCGAAAAGTAGATTCTTATATGAACAACTTTTTTGTTTGTTCTTGACCAAACTCTGCATTTATGCTTTAAACATCGGACTACTATATCATATAGTCGCCATAGGAACGATCGGTCGATAATCAAGTTGTTGTATGGACAACTTTTTTGTTTTTCAAGATATCTTAAGCTTACTCGGCATTAACTAGTTTCCCTTGCTTACCATCCGAGCGGCCTTAAACTAACATATTTGTCATAGATCCGTCTTTAAAAATCATTCGAGACGTGTTTCCCACGTATATACATACATAAACATACACATATATATACATACCTACAATATATGTACAGCTCACCTAAATTCTTGAGAATCGAGTAGGAGAGCACTTGATAGAAGTGTAGTTAGAAGTATATGTATATATGTACATATTTTGTATATATGCACATGTCTCGGTCGAATCTCATCAGATTTTCACAAGATTTGGCTCTTTGTGCATGGTTTGGCCTTTAGATCGATTTGGCATGAGATATACCCTCTAGCCTAGCATAGCATATAGCTGCTATAGGAACAATCGTTCCAGTTCTTTGGAAAATAGTTTTGTTTCTTGGGATATATTGGGCCCTTTTTATAACGTAAGAGTTGCTCAAACTCTTGTGAAGATCAGATAGGTATATTGTTTAGAAGTTAGAGGAAAACTCAATCTAAGATCTGATACTCTGTTAGTTTTTGAAGGAAGGCTTATGCTAGATTAGTTATCTTAATGAGAATAGTTTGTTGCTAACTGTCTTACTTACGATACATTTGATATATTTTGTTGTTTTTATTTGTAGCGCGTTATGCCCTCCGGTTTCTTTGTGCTGCTGCGTCACTTTTTGCGCATCGACGATGTGCTCATCCGGATGCACGACACGCGCTTCCATTGGGAGATCGAGAATGATTACATACTCAGGGAGTACATACATCGCGAGGCGCCCTGCTCGGAGCTACAGGTACAGCTACACACACACACAAACACACAGCTACACACACACAGTTTTCTAATGCTCTTGCTTGCAGACTTCGACTAGCTTTTGGACGAATCCCGATGAAATGCAAAATTTTCTACCCGTAAAGACCAAGGAGCTGCACAAGTTGTACTTTAAATAGTTGCGAGTTTTTAGGGCTTCCATTTAGCTTCTTTCATTTCACTGCGTCGTCTATTTTTTTTTTCACCATTTTTGTAGTAGTATTAACCATCCAAAACGGATCCTTGTCAGCCAGTGTATTGAAAGCAAATTCATTGTTAAACGTTTAAGTTGATAAATTTGATGTAGCAATTGGTTTAAGTGTTTAGCGTGTGTTATTTATTGCCACAAACATTAAAAGCGAGCGTCCTGCGCAAAGGACACCGTAAATACTATAATTGGCTAAAGAGCATCTAAGATAATTTCGTATTGTTGATTTGCTTTTGGCCAGGTTTTGCCTAAGCGCCGCCCAGCAGCGCGGCCAGAGCGTGCTTGTAGTCGCCCGACGTTTCCGACTGCAAACAGAAAAAACAAACAGGAAAAAAACAAAGCAAGAAAACAAAAAAAAGGAATAAGTAATGAGAACAGTTGAAATATGTGTGGACCGTATACGGGCATTTCCGTACGGGCAAACATGCAGCAAGAACCAAACACAACAAAGAAAATCTATCTGAGCAGCGATCTTTGAACGCTTTCCAACACACTTTGTAACGTTTTCTCGCACAAACAGTGTTCGCAAGCAAATTCTCAATCATGAATTTGTTGCTTATCCCCCCCCACCCTCCCCCCACAAACCTAGTTAAAAAAAAAGAAGTTGGTTGAATCAAAGTTCGCATAAATTAAGCATAAATCATGTTACGTAATGTGTGTCACCTAACGTATAATATTTAAGGCCTTAATTGAAAAATGAAAGCAATTTGTAACTTTTAGCTGCGCTCTTTAAGATTATATATATATATATATACATATACACAAATAAATTGTATTAAGAAACTCGAGCGATTTGTTGTTTTGCTACTCCTGCCATGAAATTGGCTACTCTATTGAAGAAGAAGAAGACGATGCCGACGACTCCATAGAGCATATATATATATATATATAAACTCGATCCTGCATACTATTTCTATGCAAGCTATTCCCTTGATTGCAGCCCTTAAAACTTGCCAATGATTCTTTCTGCTACGGCGGAAACGGATCGGATCGGATCGTTCGGATCGGATAGGATCGGCCGGATCGTTCGGCTCGGATCGGATCGGATCGTTCGGATCGGTCGGATCGGTTCGGATCGGATTGTTCGGCTCGGATCGTTCAGATCGGATCGGATCGGATCGGAGCACCTTTCGGAGGATGTTTGTCAACTGGCTGCCAATAAAAAAAATCAAGCCTTGTTAAATTTTCGTTGTTTTTTCTGCAGCTTTTCTTTGATGTGGCTCTGGAATTGCCCAGGTTAGCTGGAATTTTGGTTAGCAGATACCCTATTTGGATGGGGCAATACTTACGTCCTAGCACCAAAGACAACAACAACAACAAGAACAACAATAACAAGAAGAAGAAGTAGTGTGGGAATTACATAAAGCAAAAGTTGGAATTGGATTAAAATGTGTTCAAAAAATTTGGTTTGAGCACTTACCACAATGGCGCTGAGCAGCGTGCGATTATAGATGCGCTCGAACTCCTGCTTAATTGTCTCCAGATCGATCTCCGAGCGGCTGACAATGATGCGTATAAGCGTTGCATCATCGGTGCCGGCGCCATCCATGGCCTTGTGCAGGCGATTCGCAAAGAATGCCGCCGGCGACTGCACGCACTCAACTGTGGGCATGGCAACTGATCAATGGGGGTCAATGGAATATGGATATGGATGTGCATGTACCTATGGCCATCATGGCGTCGTGCAGCTCGTCGGCCATCTCGTGCTTGATGGCCTGCTCGATGGTCTGGCCGGAGAGTTGCTTGTATTCATCGAAGATCAGTCGCAGCTGGGGGAAGCTGGCATGGGCCATGATGCGATTGAAGACCTCCTCGTCGGTGCCCAATTTAGCCTCGCCGGCGGCATATAGTTGTGCCGCCTGATCTTTGGCCTGTGCCGCATCGACGGGCGTATTCATTGAATCCCGCACGCCGGTCACAATCAGCGTAAGCAAACGTCGAAAGAAACCGGACGTTTCGCTGCACATTTGCTCGGCCAGCGGTCGTCCATATTTCTCCTCATAGTTGACCACAATCTGCTGCATCTCCTCGTTGGATTTGGTGCACAGGATTTCGACAAGTGTTGACTCCTCGGTGCCCAGGCCAGCCATGGCGTTGTGCAGCTGCTGGCACAGATAGTCCACGGGCGGCATCATCAGCGCCACAATCACATCCTCAAACTTGCCGCCCAGCTCACCCTTCAGATCTTCGATCAAATCTCTATCGAATTCAGCAGCGTAGGCGGCGCTAATTAACTGGCGCTGGGCATTGCTACGTGAGGTGAGCACCTCGATTATTTGCTCCTCATCGGTGCCGAGGCCACGCATTGCGGCGCGCAGCTCCTGGCTATCGCTGGCCGCATCGAAGGGGCTGCGCGGCACAACGCACGGCACGGCCTGTACGCGATGAGTCAGCGCAATTTGCTTTAGCCCCAAAAACTAACGATTCAATTTGCATACGAAGTACTAACCTTATAATCCATTTCTCGTTTTGCTTTTTGCTCTTTGTTTTTTGGTTAGTTGTGTTTAGTTTAAAACGTTGTTTGTTCTTTTTGGCAAACTATTTCACACTGGCTCGTTCAGTTTTCTCGGTGCAGCTGTGCTTGTTGTTGTTGTTGTTGTTGTTGTTGCTGCTGCTGCAATTGCAAATGTTTCGTTCAGTTTTCTTATACGTTGTACTCCACCCGCCGTTCGCTACTGACTGCACACAGGCAACGTCGCTGTCGTTGCTGCTGCTGCTGCTGTCGCTGCCGCTGCCGACGTCGTGAGCTTTTATGACGAAGCTTTTAATTTCGCCTTAACTACGGCTTCGGCCCAAATGGCAATGCAATACGCATGCCAGTTGCATGAATCATTGGATACACACAAATGATTAGCTAGATATAAATAGATAGCGCACACACATACACACACACATACATATATGCATATATATATTATCTTTATTTAATCTCGTTTTATTGTTGTTGTCGCTTGCGTGAGTTATTAATATACTACAATTCAATTACAGTTTGTCATTCTTCTGATTCTCAACTTGTTCGCTTCATGCACGCGTGTGTAAATATCGCGTTATATATGTATATGTGTATGTGTATATATATGTATCATTTTGTTATTGTTGCATATTATATAAATCTTTGCTCAAATAAGTTTGTTTGCCATTTTCTCATTTTATACACAGCTCGTGGAGGCAAAATCAATCAATACCGAAAGAAATGAGACATCAGTTCTAAACATATTAAGAATATGAATATATATGTATATATCAAATAAATTACAAATACCAATGATGTACGCTTAGGGGGAGAGACCTTGAAGAGAACATTTCGCATTTAAACCAAAATTGTTTAAAGCATATATCGCATACATATATATTTTGGTTTTTGTTTTTCTCAGTGTAACTTCATTTGATGAACTTTACTTGAATACGATGCGAATGGTAGGGCAGAGGGGGGGGGGGGGGGGGGGGGGGTTAATAAACCAAAAAGCTTTTAAGCTCTTTGCTTGGCCGCATTGCGGAAAATGGGTGGATTATGGGTGGAAAGCGCAAAATAAAGAAAACGAGTTGAATTACAACGCGTACAAAATTAAAGCCAAGCTCTTAACACAATCAATAGAAAATTGGAGCACATTTATAAATATAAATATGCATAGATATACATATAGATAAATATACGCCCAGCTCCCCCCCCTATCCCTTGGCAATGCACACCAAAGATTTTTGTTTAGACGAAAGCGTGTTCTGTAAACGTTGGGATTAGACCTCGTCGTTCTGATTCATCTTGAGCTCATTGAGGGTAGCATTGAAACGGGACCATTCATCGCGCGACGGCAGCGCCAGATGCTCAGCGACATCGTAGACATAGAGCTTGCCGGACTCATCGCCGATGGTCACATGGAGGCCAGATGGTGTCCAGGAGACGCGATTCAGCGCTGGCGCACCATCGACAACAATTGATGCTGTCGGTACTTCGGTATCCTGATTGAGGTTCCATAAATCAAGGCGACCGCTACCATCGACAGCAGCAAACAGAGCGGGATGAACGGGCGACCAGGCGACATCCATGACATAGTCGGAGTTATCCTCAAACGAATACAAGGGTTTCGTGTCCTGCAAACGAATGGCAAACGAATGTAAAGAATCGTTGGGAGTCATATGTAGGCGCACACGGAACGCTCACCTTGAGGGACCACAGCTTAATTGTCCAATCGATCGATGAGGTTAGGAACAGATGACCAAAGTCCGGCGACGATTGATTATAATGCGTTGAGATGCCCGTTATGGGACCCAAATGCCGTTCGAATACCTCATTGACGCCCGAACGCAGGCCGTGCCGCGAGGCCGAATAGACATAGCCATCCTCGCTGCCCATGACCAGGCTGTTGATCTCATTGGCCGGAAAGGCCATGCATGTGATGGCGATCGCCTTCGATTGGCGCTGCTGCAGCTCGAGCGTATCCTGCGGCTGCGATAGCATGTCCAGCGACCAGGAGCACAGCTTACCGTCCGACGATATCGAGATAACATTATGGGCATTCTGTGTGCCCACCATTTGCAGGCAATAGACGGGATGTGTGTGCGCCGCGGCGCTCAGGGGTGTACGCTGTATGGGTGTGCGTTTCTGGACACGATTATCCCAGAGCACAATCTGGCCAGAGTATGTGCCGCCTAGTATTAAATTGGGATTGAATTTGGCAAAGCATGTGGACATCACGGCGCTCTGACAGTGGAAGACATCCTCGGGCGTTTGCTTCTTGAATTTTGTATTCCAGACCATCACAACGCCGTCCGGCTCATTGGGGCTCTCGTCGTTGCTGTGATAGGAGGCGACAACCAGTTCCGGAAAATGCGTTGACCAATCCATGCTGGTGATGCAGCGATTCTTTGACCAGCGCTCATCATAGAAGACACGATTCAGCGATAGGCGCGCGTGGGAGCGCTCATCGTTCGCCTCCTCGTTGTCGCCGCATCCAATGTAATCCGTATAGATGTCCACGTTCTCGGAGAGGGCGCGCTCAATGACGCGTCCGGCACGCAATACGAATCTCTGAAAGTCCTCCGATAATATGATCATTTGCTTTTGCTCCTCCGACAGTTCCTTGACTGCAAATCGTGAACGATTTATGAATTACACGATATTTCAATACGTTTGCGTGTCACGCGCCCATCTCTAAATGGATTCGCGTGTGACTCGTGTGCGTGACACGTGATCATGGCACGAAAATTCAACGATATTTCATAACTTTTGCGTGTCACGCGTAGAGATGTGTGCGTGAATCTTTGTGCACAACTCTAGATGAGCTAGAGTTGAGTGCGTGAGTCGTGCTTAATACTACTACGAGCATTTCGTGCTCGTGCGTGCTCACGTGCACATCTCTAGCTGTGAACTGAATGCTGCTCGTGAGCGTGATGCGATCACAACTTTTTAGCTCAAAACTTCGTGTCACGTGATAGATATTCATTAAGATATCGTCTCGTGCTGAAAACTTAGCACGTGCACATCTCTAGCTAGAGATGAGCTTTGAACTCACCCTCCTTCTTCTCCTCCTGCTCCTTCTTCTGTTCGAGCGGTGTTATGGCTGGGGCCACATCCTTGACTGTCGGCAGTCCGTGGGTGAGATAGCCAGGCGGCAGCTTGGAACTAAAGCCATGATCCAGATGTGGCAGCGAGCTCTCTTCGTCGTCTCCTTGGGCATCAAATGCAAGCACTGTTTAAGGTATAAAACTAACACAGCTAAAGGAACATGACAATCGACAGAACAGGAACAATTCTACTATTTTTTTTCTTTTTCTTTTCTTTTCTTTTCTTTTGGTTTAGCTGCAACTTGCTTTTAACGGGCGCTTTAACGGTTGAACGTGACGTTTCTTTTTAGCATGTTGTCTCTGTCATTCTTGCAAAATTTGCGTTATTTCTCTTCTTGGCTTTAGCTTCTTGTGTGTGTGTGTGTATGTGTGTGTGAGAGAGAGAGTGTGTAGCTTGTGAGAAGTTGATGAGATTAGCAGTGTTGGAAAAGAGCGGAGTAGAGGGGCGATTAACGGTAAGAGAGAACGCACAATTGGAATAACTTCATGTGCTAATTGGACTCGACACAGCTGTGTGTGGGAGTGTATGAAAGAGAACGGGTGGGAGCGATACAGTTAGAGAGGGACGGTAAGGGAGAGAGCGAGAGCGAGAGAGAGAGAGAGAGAGAGACACACATACACACGCGCGTTTGCACTTGTGTTTTATTCATAAGTCGCAGATTTGTATAAATATAAAACACAAGAAGTTCATTAAGTACATGGTGTGTGTGTGTGTGTGTGTACGTGCGTGTGTGTGTGTGCGTGTCAATATATGCACTAGATGCTGTTAGTGTGCTTTACGCTTTACACCATACAACTTAATACACAAAGCCAATTAAAAAAAAAAAGAAAAAGAAATTAAAATATATATATTTAAAATTAAAGAATTTACAATTTCCTATTATCTCATACGCCGTTAATATGTATGCATGTGTGTGTGTGTATATATATATATATATATATATGCATGTATGTAGTGTAGCAGCATAATAGATATAGAGAAATAGAGAGAGAGAGAGAGAGAGAGAGAGAGAGAGAGGGAGAGAGGGAGAGAGATAAGAGGCATATTTCAAGTAATATTATTATGTATTACGTAATTGGTTTAAACTCTATTAACAACACTTTCTTGCTTCACTAATTCGTGTATCAATTAACATTTGTTCAGTTGTTTTTTTTTTTTTTTATCATTTTTTTTGTTCTCCACCCAGTTTATAAATTTTTGCGCTTAAAATTATGTATTTATGCTAGGTATATATTACATATATATATAATTACTTTTTTTTGTAGATTTATTGTTTTTTTCGTTTTGGTTTTATCTTTGTAACATTTAACATAAACAGCCAACAGAGGTCGCTTTTGGTATCTGGTGCCGTGGGTTAACAGTTAACACAGTAGTTAACGGTACATTAAAGAGAGCCGCCTACGACGCGCTTCGCTTGCTGTGCTTGTTGAGAGAGTGAGCGAGACAGAGACAGAGACAGAGAGAGGGAGGGCGAGAGTGACAGACAGGGGCACAGATAAAGAGAGCTTGAAGTGGGTGTGTGTGTGTGTGTGTATGTGATTGACTGCGCCGAGCATGAGAGCACAAGAGAGAGAGAGGGAGAGAGAGGGAGATATAGGGCAGAGAGGGGCAGACCAAAGAGCGAGACAATCTGTTACTAAAGAATTGACTAAGACTTCGGGTATTTTATGTTAGCAATTTTGGATGAAACAAACGTTAGTCGCACGCAGTTGAAAATATGTATATATATAGGCAATAGATCGATGAAATGATTATTGAAATTGAGGTTAGGTACACACAAAATGCACAAAATTCAAGATTTGCTGGAGTTTTGATTAAATTTTTGATATGATGCTAGAGATTATGCAGGCAGGCAGGCAAAATGGCGTGGATTTTGTTGACTGTACAGCGTGTAACGGTAATTTATTAGACACAAGGAGCCAGAGAGAGAGAGAGAGAGAGAGAGAGAGAGAGAGAGAGAGGGTGAGAGCGAGGTAGATTGTGTATATGTATGTCTGTGTGTGTGTGTGTGTGTTTCTAGTGTGTGTCAGCCAGCGCGAAGTTCATGTTCATGGATTATAGGTACATATATGTATATAACTCATATATCTTCAAGTTTAGTTTTGAATTAGCTTTAGGTATATGATTGTTATTATTATTGAACGCGTTGTAGTTAGAATTTGTACGTTCCTATTTTGCTTCATGTCGATTTCCCGTCACTGTTTGCGAAACGCCTCTATGTTTGGGTGTACCTACCTGTGAATTCATCCTCCCACTCTAAACCCGGATTAAGATTGTATTCATCTTGAAGAAATATAAAGAAATAAATATATTGTACATATACACAATTTTAGTTTTTGGGTTGATTTTAGTTTGTCTTGCACTTTTTTCTTCTTCTATAATTTTTTCGTTTTAACAAAAGAAATCAAGACCCGACAAAAAAAAAAAAAAAAACTTGGCCTCAACGTACCGCCCCCCTTGAAATTGATCGGGTATGCAGTTTTCTTCATGAACAAAAGGCAAATAACATATGATGTACGAAACGTTAAAAGCCATCGATTATATGTATATGTTTAACGTCTTTTTTATATATATAGATAGAACATAAATTATGGCTTTTCGAGAAAAAAAATAAAAAAAACAAGAAATAATTAGCACATTTGTCGAACGAAAGCGGCGACAATTATAAATTATAGTACAATGTTAAGTTTATAACTGATAATTACTAGATTCATATATATATATCTATATATATATAGATATATGTGTATAGTATATTATATAGTACATGATATTTCTCAGTGCTTTTACATGCATTCGTGTTGTATGCGTGTGCGTGTGTGTGAGTGTGTGTGTGTGTGTGTGTGTGTCTGGCTTACATTTTGTTCAAGACTTAAGTTTCTAATCGATAGATATATATATATATAAATATATATGAATATATATACTCGATACTTGCGTTAGGAAAAGTTGGCTAGACATATTATGAATATTACGATATATAAGTTTTATGCTAAAAACAAAAAAATTGGTAGATAAAACAAGGCTAAACTCGTCAAATAAATGAATACGACTAGTGTATAACAGTTGCAATGGAAACTGTTATACGGTTATACGCAAAAATAAAATGCGAGCTCTTGGTAATTTTGTTTCACGTTTGGTTCTTATGAAAACGATTATAATTTTAAAAAATAACTTAAAAAAAAGTCAACTACTTAATGGAATAATTAAAAAAAAAAACTTATAAATTGGGTGGAGTTTGTTGAAATATATATATTTTTGAAAACAAAATATATATATATAAAAATATACTATAATGCTGATACAAACTGAATGTCAGATTATGCCGTCTAGACGCTACATTTGGTAACATAAATCTCAATTAATTGCAAATTCAATAAATTAAATATGGGAAATATTGTACCGAAAGGCCGTAAAAAGCAATTTCTAAAATATATATATATATGCGAGTAATAGGTTTTTTTTTCAAGCACTATAGATAGAAACTACATACGCACAAGACTAACGAATTATATGTAACGAGTGCTAAGAGGTAGCGAGTAACAAGTAACGAGAGCTAAAAGGTAGCGAGTAATAGGTAACGAGAGCTTAAAGGTAGCGAGTAATAGGTAACGAGAGCTAATAGGTAGCGACTAACTACATACAGCGAGCGAGCAGGACAGAGTGATATAAGAGAGAGGAATAGCGAGAGAGGGGAGGCATAGTCAGACTGAATGGGAGACAGCGGAAAGGCAAATATATATATATACATATAGAGAGAAAGGGGGGAGAGAGAGAGAGTATACGATAGTTTCTACTTGGATTCGCGGGCGTGAATATTTGAAGTAGTTAGATACAAAAAGTCAACAACTACTCACCATAATAATCCGTAGCATGAGCTGCAGCATTTTTTGCGTGCGTACCAAGAACAGATAAAAAAGTGGGAAGAAAAAGTAAATAGACAAATTATTAAATGCGCTCAAACAAATGCCTAAATACAAACAAAATACGTTGTATTCGAAAGCAGCGAATGCAACAATTAATAAACATAATAATAACAATATGAAACAAAACAATCAACTATGAAGAATGAAAGTCAAAATCAATGAAACGATGAACATGTGAAAAATATAGATCAAATATATATATATAGCTATAGCATATTATATTTATAGTGAGAGAGAGAGAGAGAGCTTTAATTGGTTACCATAATGAATTGTGTGCTGTTGTCTAAATTTGATAGCTGTCTGCTTAAAACTATATATAATACCTTTACGTGGACGCCACCAGTCCTCCATATATCCTGACAGAGGCGATGAGTGGCAAGAAAGAACTGTATTTGTTATTTAATTTCACTTATGTTAAATGCTTGCTCTATAATTTGTTCAAATTTCATTTAAAAGCACAACACACAACAACTCAAATGTGGCAAATCAATATTGGGTTAGACGCTGGGATTCTGGGAATTAGCATTGGGCAGAAATATCTAGCAGCACAGAAGACAGTTAATAAATTAGGCAATTTGAAAGGAGCACAAAGAACAATTTGAAAAGAATAAGAGAAGAAACTATGGAAAGTGTTTAGAGTGTATGCATGATTCGGTTATGGGTTATACACTAGCTAGCATTGGCCACTATATATGAATATATCAATCAATATATATATATGCATGTAGGTCTTAGAGCGCATACGCACCATCACGCTCGTGTCCGCCGGTGCTGGTGGTCTGTGTTTGTTTCGTATAGACGAGTGTCTCCTTTGGTGGAATGTTTGTGGCCTGCACGTTGTAAACGCTCAGATTCAGTGGCTGTTTCTTGCCGGCGCTGCTGTTTGTCAAAAAGAAAAACAAACCAAGTTTCAGTTGGCATCGAAATATGCAATGTTACAAATGGACATTTTCAGGCTGAGCAAAGCCGCAACAAAATGCAAAGTTTGTTTAACTATTGCTCGGCCCTCTATAATAATTTTGCATCATTTTTATATACCCCTGTCCGTTGACGTTGGCCTGCAAGCTAACATCTGGCGTTTGTGTATTGGAATTATCGGATGTCAGCGAATTGGCCGAAGACAGCGAGGAGAGCACCTCAGAGACGGGCGCAAAGCCCAGCGAGGACAGCATTTCATCCAAATCTCTGCAAAGGCGCACACAATATTAGGCTGATTAGCTGATCAGGCATTTATTATGTTTTTGGAGACTCACTTGCGCTGATCCTTGTCAATGCCGGTGCCGGTGCCAATGCGTCCGGCTGCCTCTTCCATGTCTTTAATCTCCTTTTCGCGGCGACGTCGATCCTTCTCCTCGCGCAGTGCTGCCAATTTGGCCTTCTTGCGCTCCAGCTCAGCCTTGCGATCCATTTTTGAGGTGTGGCAACGCTCGCTATTTGTTTCAACTGATGCAGTTCGGGCACGTAAGGCGGATGTGTTGCTTAGTTCGGGCTACAACAACAACAACAACAACTACAACTACAAGTGCAGTTCGAAAGCAGCTTTCGCTACGCTAGCTGCAGAAATGAAGAACAACAATAGAACAATGAATCAGTTTTGGCCATAACTAATTGTAACCAATATTGGTCAGCGCAGCTGCTTGATGATGTCACCTTCACAACAACCAACAACAATAACTGGCCAAAAGTTAAGAAAGCCACACAACTGTCCGTGTGTGTGTGTGTGTGCGTGCGTGTGTATGCAAATGATGTTATTTTCACTGGATAAATGCACAATTCATGCAGCCGACAAAACTTTCAGCACACAATACAAAAAATCAATAGTCAAATGGGGCAACCACAAGATTTGATGACGGCGGCGCAGCAGCAGCAGCAATAGCTGCTGGCAGCGCTGTCGCTGTCGCTGTGACGTCGTTTTCCACTTTTTGCTCGTGTGCACAAATTTGTAGGCTTCACCGCAATGAACAGTCAGGCACCGCACAACACTCAAAACTCAATACATTTTTATAGCGCACCTTTAATGTTGTTCTCGTACTAATTGAATATGCACAGATTGCAATTAAATCATCATTTTATTCCAATTGAAAATGCGATTGCAATGTTTTGTGAACAGCGCCAGTGTGACCGTAGGCAACAAATGAAATTGACCAAATAATCGATATACCACAAAATACTGCAAATGTTAAGTGACTGTAAGTATACAGCACTGCACTTGATATCGTATTTTATCGATGTAGCATAGCTCGCTGGCTTTGGGCGCCAAATTTGAAAGTGTCTTGCAATTAAATCAAATCAAATTGCAATTGTCAGCGTGACAGCACTGAACTTTAAGCCCGACTGCATCTATCTGGCAACGCCTGCGACTGCGCCAAGTTTGAAAATAGTCAATTAAATATATTTTATTTGTTGAGCGATTGAGCAAAAAACAATAACAAAACAAAAAACACGTTTAAGCACGCTGATTTCTGGGTAACATTAATTAATGCACTACGCATTTGGCTGTCAAGTGAAATCATAAGAACCCGTCAGCAGCAAAATGGACAAATGGAAATAGAAAGCTAACGAGAACTTGTTGAATTCATTGTCATTTTGTGCGACTCTCATGCAGCGCAGCATAACGGTAAATTGTGGGCTGTGTGCAATTGGCATATTAAGCGGCCTTTTCCGTAATTACCCGTTAATTGTTTGCCTGACCTGGCACCAAATGCCATGAGAGAGAGACTTGCCATGTATATTGTGGCACCCACACACATACACACATACACACACATGCACACACGCACACAATGACACTGACACAGTTGGTGGTTCGTTCACTTTTGACTGCGAGCCCTGCCTTACAAATGTTATATTAATACACAGATATTAATATGCATGTACATATATAAAAAGTCTTGCTTTAGTCTTCTTCTTTTAGCTGTTATTTGGGTTGGAGCATCTCGATTTTAAAAGTCGAGCGCGCAACTTGATGGCCTATAAATTGCATATGCATCGATTTCGTAATGCCAATAATATTAACTGATTGTGTGAATCGCCCCTCACAGCAGCTCTTTTTTTTTCTTTGTTAATACCCTGTACTCATTGAGAAATGCTTTAAATGGGCCATATTGGTTTTGTGCGCATGTATGTAACAGGCAATTGTTAATTTCCATTTATCGATAGCAAAAGCAATCGATTGCAATCGATAAGCTGAATGAGATGTATTTCGAATTTATAGATACACATATAGATAGATCGCACCCAGAATATTTCACGCATTTTGGAGCTATATTTTAAAACACCAGAGTATTGAAAACGGAAAAGATCGATTTTGGAGCAGATTTCATCTGGTGTGGGCAGCTGCTGGGCTTTACAGGGTAGCTGCTAGTCGCACTAGCTCGACTAGAGCATTCTTTTTTTACTCATTTATTTTATATTTTGGATTTCCGAAATAATGTTGGCAGCTCGCATCGATTGCCGGAGCTTTTTCTTTTGGCTAATTTTGATTGCAGTCCAAATGATTAAAAAAGAAAACCAAAAACCTTGAATTACAAAATCTTTCGTCTGGCTCCAGGCAGCGAAGCTGTTAATGATAAATCAGCGCATCTGCCAGTGTTTACAACAAAAAAAAAAAAAAAAAAAAAAAAAAAAAAACTTGATGCGGTGTTGCCAAACTGTGAAGCGGTTTTTATATCATTTTTTGTTCCTCACAGTTTTCGCTAATTGCGCGAGCTGTTTGCATACACAACATGCACACATGTACGCATGCACACATGCACGCATGCACACATGCACGCATGCACACATGCACGCATGCACACATGCACACATGCACATGCGTTGTATTAGGGAAACGCTATTTAATGATATCTGCAATTCGATACGCGCATAATTTGCACATTAATTGCTAATATTATTAAATTGCTTGGCCAGATCGTTGCGGCTGTTGTTGTTGTTGTTGTTGTTGTTGTTGTTGTTGTTGTTGCTGTTGTTGTTGCTGTTGTTGTTTCTCAGAAGCTGCTCGAAGTTGCCGGACCTGCGCTGCGCTGGCATTTATTGTGCGCCGAACGAGAGTAAAAGTTTTTTTTTTATTTTTTTTTTCTTTAAATTAACTTTAACTAGTTGCTAACTGCTTTTTAGGTTTGTCAGCCTGTTTTTAATTTAATTTTATTTTTTTTTAACATACTCGTGCTGTTTTGCCGGCAGCCCAAGGACAACGGGTTTTTGTGTTTTTCTCTCGTAGCATTGCGTGTGCGTCATATTTAGCATAGTCTCATTTACATATGTATGTACATATATATGTTTATATTATGTATATTTGATATGCTGACAATTTGTATTGGTTGACACAGTTCCAGCTTGTGATTGTGATTTTCCAGGCGCATCCTGGCCCAAGGTCTGGCCACCTGGCAGCTGAAAAGTCTGGCCACGCCAGCGAAAGGCTGATGACGTTTTCAAAAGTGCATTTGCAAGTGATGCCACTTGAACGTGCCGAGACCCACACACACACACACACACAAGCTGTTGCTGTTATTTGAAAGGCTTTGTGGCTTGTCGTTAATTTAACGCTCATTTTGCGTTTATTGTTATCTTTGCGTCTGCTTTTCGTTTTACTTTTTTTTTTTTTTTTTGGTTATTTTGGACTTTTTATTGCTGTAAATTGTTAAATCGTTGGCGCATATGAATTTTGTTTTTGTTACTGATTTTTTCTTTGGACTCCCGAGGCACATACAAATTGAACACACACGCACACACACAGGCATACAGCTTACATATGTATGTACATACATACATGCATACATGTGCATGTATTTACTTGCTTCATTACAGCTTTGCCTTGCCTTTCTTCGCTGCCGCCGCCGCTGCCGTCGTCGCCGTCAGCCATCCCCCAGGTTAGCTTTAGCATCTGCGCTCTGCGTCCGCCTGCGCGTGCGCCCAAGCGTCGCCAGCGTCTGGCGTCGACGGCGCTGCCAGCGCCGAGCGTTGCCGTTGCCGGTGAAAAAGTCTTGAAAAGTGCGCCTCTTTGGCGTTCCGTTGTTAGTTTAAGTTTAACCATCGCACGCTTAAGTCGCGATTTAGTTGGCCGCTAAAAGATACATCATATTTTTTTTTCTCTTCTGCTAACCAAAAGGATTTTGTCACACCCAGTTGTGACACACATACATATATTTTTTTTTATAAATTTAGTTTAACAACAAAAAAAAAAACAAAAATGAAATTATTTTTATGTGCCATTGCTGTGACGCTCTGTGTGGCAGCGACAAGTGAGTGAAATATGCATTAATTTATTAAAAAAAAATACGAATAAGAAAAAGGAGAAACAAAAATCGTAGCCGATTTGGCAACTTTGTGCTAATCACTTTGGCATTGGCTGCGCACATGTATTGGTAGCTGTCTGTGTGTCCGTTTGGTGCAGGCTTCGTTGAAAAGCTCTCTCTCGCTCTCGCTCTCTCTCTCTCACACATGCTCTGTGCACGCTGCGCAGCTTGCTTAGAATTTTAACGGTACTATTCGCATGCAGGCATGCATTTTGCATGATTTATCGCGCTGCTGTCAAAATGGCGACGATTTTATATGCCATGGGTCGACCCTGTCTGACATTTAAGCATCGCTCAAATGTCACGTTATTTGCATTTGCAACAACAACAAGAGCATGATGAAGAAGTAGCTAAAAACGGGTAATCGATAAACCGGCTGCCGCTGGGCCTGGGCGTCGTTCGGAAAAACCGGACGCCCGGGCCTGGAACTGGAACTGAAAACTGTTTTAACTGTAACTGAAACTGGGACTGAATTGCCAAAGCCAAGCGATTATGTAACGTCTGCGGCTGCCAGAAACAGGAAAAAGAAAACCCCCAAATGCGGCTGGATCGATAAATCGATCTTTGCTACGTTTTTTGTTACAATTTTCCAAAAGCAGGAAACTCAACGATGCCGGTGAAAGCACAACAAGTTTAATGAACTGCTCTCTCTCTCTCTCCCTCTCTCTCTCTCTCTCTCTCTCTCTCTCTCTCTCTGGTTAGCAGGCGCAGCTGAGTTCGAGTGCCCCAAGCCGAATGGCCAGTTCGCGGACGAGGTGCAATGCGACAAATATTATGTCTGCGATGAGGGCGTGCCCAAGGCGAAACTGTGCCCGGACGGCCTGGTCTTTGATCCGCTCAATCGCAAGATCAACAAATGCGATCAGCCCTTCAACGTGGACTGCGAGGATCGCACAGAGCTGCGTAAGTTTTGCGCCAACCAATCCTTGAACCGGACTGACATGACCCCGATTTCGATTTTGAATACCTAATTCCACAGAGGAGCCCAAGTCCACCAAGTACTGTCCAAGGAAGAACGGCTTCTTTGCCCATCCGGAGGCGAGCGTTTGCAACATTTTCTACAATTGCATTGAGGGCGATGCGCTGGAGATGAAGTGCACCGTCGGCCTGCATTTCGATGAGTATTCCGGCACCTGTGTCTGGCCGGACACCGCCAAGCGTGAGGGCTGCGGCGATCCAGAGAGTGAGTAGCTAACCTAACGATATCTAGGGGAATGTAATCCTAACCAATTGGCTCGCTATCTTCTGGTCTCGTTCGTGCAGAGAAATCGGAGAGCGGCTTTGCCTGCCCCAAGGATCAGCCGAAGACTGATGCGCGCGGCCAGGTGGTCACACATCCCAAGTATCCGCATCCCACTGACTGCCAGAAGTTCTATGTTTGCCTGAACGGCGAGGATCCGAGGGACTTGGGCTGCCAGCTGGGCGAGGTCTACAACGATCTGACCGAGATGTGCGATGCGCCCGAGAATGTGCCCGGCTGCGAGGACTGGTACAAGGATACCGATGACAAGAAGGATTAAGCCAGACGTTAAGCCGCGTGCCACCCGCCGATAAAAAATATATCAACAACAACAAAAAAAAAAACAAAGCAAAACAAACAAACACGCACTGCCACCCATCCCTGCGCGCGTCTACTGCAGATACCCAAAATACACCCACACACACACACACACACACACACACACACGCACAGTTACACTTGGACAGACCGAAGGACTTACGGAGCTGGAGCCGGCGCCTCCGGGCACTGGCTGGACGCGCGTTGTAGTCACTTAAACATAGTAGTTTCTAGCTTATTCCTATAGCGCCTTTGAGTAGCACTTCAATTTCAAAACATCTCGTTCTGCGCTACTCGTTACTTGCTACTCGTTACGCGCTACTCGTTACTTGCTACTCGTTACGAGCTACTCGTTGCGAGCTTATCGTTACGAGCTACTCGTAACGAGCTACTCGTTGCGAGCTATTCGTTACGAGCTACTCGTTACGAGCTACTCGTTACTTGCTACTCGTTTCTTGCTACTCGTTCCGCGCTACTCGTTACTTGCTACTCGCTACTCGCTACTTTGTTCTGACGAGTAACTGACTTCTTTAAACTCTGACTCTGAACTATCTGATTTGCAACTCTTTACTCTACTCTTTCTATCACTCTCTCTCTCTCCCTCTCTCTCTCTCTCTCTCTCTCTCTCTTTCTCTCTCTCACTCTTATTTCCTATACTTTACTCTATCTGTGTCTATCTGTGCTCTTAACTATTCTATAAAACGTTGTGTATATATTTCCTCTTCTTTTTCCATATTTTTATTAATATACAAAATCGAAAAAAAAAAAAATAAAAAAACTGTTTGCGATAAACTATCTGATACGCTATCTTTTCTATTTTTCGACTTTCCCAACTATTTGAACTATTTCTAAAATACATACTATTCTTCCTTTTTATAATCTACATTTATTCTGTTTCTTTTTCTTTTTATCATCTTTGACTTTGGGCTTCTTTCTACTATATTTCACCTTAAATTTTTTCTTACTAAACTTTTCTTGTATATAATGCCTTATATATACTTAGCATTTCTTTTCTGATAACAATTTTTTATCATGAATACTTCTTGTTTCTTACACTTCTTGCTAATGAAAAATGTCTCCGAATTTTTGTAAATGTTATTTCCCGACAATTCCATCAAAGTTTTTCCATGATTTATTCCCTGATATATGGTATTTTATAACTTATTAAAGTCCCTCCTTCCACACCTTTGAAAAATCGTACGAAAGTTCAAGTATTTCGCAAACAAACCTTATAGATCTGTTCTCTTGTTCTCTTGAACTTATCGTAGCTGTTCATTAAAGAAATAATTCTCATATAACCGGTTTTTCATAAATTAGTTTTATCTTTAATGATCTTTCCCCTTAAGAGCGAGTTTTTTTTTGCTAGGTTTTTTTTTTCTTATAAACAGGTTTTTCCTTCGACTTAACTGAACTTTGAGTGCAGTACGCCCTGGTATATTATTATTTTTCAGATCAAAATCTTTTAAGTTGTTTCCTTTTCAAGCCAGAGTTTTAGTTTTATTGAGGATTATATTTCAACTTATTTCTTGTGTGGAAGATCGAGTTTTACTCTTAGTCTTTTAAAAATTTTCCTAACTAGAGTTTACTTTTATTCCTGCACGGTTTTATTCTCTTAAAACTTATTTCCTATATTGAATGTTACTTTAATCCTTGTTACTTTAATCCTTGTTTCCTTTAAGATACTTTAACTCATTTCTGCTTCAAGCTAGAGTTTAGCTTTATTCCTTGACTTAGGATTATCTTTTAACTTATTTCCCTTATCAAGCTAAAATTTCATTTTAATCCTTGGTTCTTTTTTTGCAAGATCTTTCAACTATTTGCTTCCTCAAGCCTTGCCTTTCTTTCTTCAAGTTTTAGCTTTATTCCTTGACTGTGTTCTATCATATTTCTGTCTTTTAACTTTTGTACCCTCTATACTTTACTTGATTTGTTTGCGATGGACTGTTCCGATGATCGCAACTTGCAAACGAATACATTCACACGACTCAAACAAACGACAGCATTCATTTCCATTTGCAAACTCATTCGATTAAATAACAAGACTTGAATTGATGCCAATTGTGTTTATCTTGCGAATGCGAAAGATTTATGTTTAGTCTTCCAAATCGAGGGCAAATCGATTTGTCGTTTATCTTATTCGCATCCTATTATGAAATGCAACAGCCCCCCCCCCCCCCCCCCACTCCCCCCGCCCACCGCTCCCTTCCGCCACCCACCAGCATCATTAACCCATTGTCAACCAAACACAATGCCCGTTAATTGCATTCGACCAATAAGCAACGGGTTAAGCAAAGTCAACACTGATGCGCCGAAGTCCGGATACTCTTTCCCAACTGTTATTTAAGATATATTGTTTAATATTACGAGTGCCCCAAATGTTGTTGAACAAAACGCAGAAACTGTAAAAATAACATTTTTACGATTCTTAATGCATTTTCATATTAAAAAAAAATTGTATGCGACGTCTTAATAAATTACTTTAAAAATTTGCCGTCTCAGAAAATGTTCCAGTTTTTAAAATTCTATTTTCTTCTTCTTAAAAAAAATGTCCATTTTTTCATAAATTTGAAAATTTCCATAAAACGGAAAAGGCTACGCTTCTTTTCAAGGAATACAGGAACTACAAATTCAAAATTCTACATAAAATTGGAAACGGAATTGCCGAAATTCTGATACTGCTGAAGGATATTCTTATTTCTGGCAATTATAATTTAAGTTTTTCCTAAAAAAAAGGCAAGAATTATAGCTAGAAAGCATTTAAATATGTTTTTGTTAAATACAGGGTGTTCAAATTGACGAAATTTCTAGATAAAATCACGGTATACTGCCGGGATCTTTATCCCGCTGAGAATGTTCCAATTTCTGGCAATAATATTACAAAATATGTATTTTTTTTTTGTTTTTAAATAAAAAAAATGCAATAAATAAGTTAATTTTAATAGCTTGAAAATGTTTTCTGACAGAAATAATAAAAAAAAGTTTCTATTTTTTCTTAAGAAATGAATATTGAAGCTTAAAAATGTTTTCTGGCTTAATACAGGGTATTTAAATTGACAACATTTCTGGACAAAATAACACTATGCTGCCAGGAAACGTTTGCAAATGTTCCAATTTCTGACGGAAATATACAAAATATATATATATATATATATATATATATTTTTTTTTTTCAAAAGTCCAGAAACATTAAAGAGGGAAAGCCTTTGAAAATGCCGCCCACTTGCATAGAGCCGCAGACAGTTAGTTGACAGTCGAAAGTGTTATACGTATGACAGAGTGTTGTGCAGCGCAAACACGATGGCAAAACTGTAATGCTCGGCTGCTGAAAAAGTGCAGCGCGCTGCAGGCGGCGACAGCTTTCGGGCTAAGCTGGTTGCGTAATCGCCGCTGTCTGCCTGCAGACAACAGCAACAACGGCAAAAGTGTTGCAATAGTTAACAATGTAACGGTTATCGGCAAGACGAACGAAAGCGCGCACACACACACACACACACACACATACACACAAAGCAAACGCGCCCGCGGCGAGCCGAATGCAATCATGAATGAAGCTTACGGGCCTGCGCGAGCTTTGCCTTTTACTTTCAATCACACATGTTGCCAGCAGCAACAACAACAACAACAACAACAACAACAACAAATGCCCAAATCACGTTTTGCATTTTGTATTTGTACCAAAAACGCTCGTTCAATAGTTGCGCGCGCGCGCGCGCTTGCTCGCGCGTTCACTGTGACACATACACACACACACACACAGGCACGCACGCATACATGCATGCGCGCATGCCTTGGCTTAAGTGTCTGCGCACATGTACTTATGCGCCCGTCTAGCCTCTGCCCCTGTCGACCCCTTTTTTTGGCCAGTGCCAAACGCCTGGCTGCCTACCCCCCACCCCTAGTCCTGCCACATAATTCAAATACGAAACGCGCGCAAAAGCCAAAAGCCAAAAACAAAACAAATACAAAAAGCTTTGCAAAACTTTTGTTTCTGTCGCCGTCAACGTCGCTGCTGCTGCTGCTGTTGTTGTTACTTCTGCTGCTTCTTCTTCTTCTTCTTGAGCGCGGTATAAATCTTTTCAGTTGAGTTTGGAACGCGTAACCGTTAAAACGTGCAGCGGAAATTTAAGTGTCGCGCTGTTGAATTCAAATTGAAACGTCGCCCAACGTTGCCATTGTTGTTGTTATTTTTGTTTTTATATTTAAATTCATTTTTTTTTTGTGCCCCCGTCTGCTTGCCATTTTTGCTCTGGCCATTCTAGTTGTTGTTGTTGTTGCCGTTGTTGTTGTTGTTGTTTTTGTTAGCATATCCGTTAGTTAATTTTGAATTCGCCGCAAAATGAGAAGCGTGCAATTGAGCTGCGTCCTGATCCTGGCACTGATTGCGTACGGTAAGTGGCAGCCATTTTGTTTGTAATTTGTGCATGCGCAAGCTCTTATTGGAATTGCGGCAATTCGTATTGGCATTAGCGCAACCTTCCATTGCGTGTCGCTGGGCCCCGGCTCTGGCTCTGGCTCTGGGCTTGGTTGTGTCTGTTTTGAGCTTTTACTTTCAAAAAAATAAATAATAATAAAAAAAAATAAACCAAATTCCAATCGCAATCGCATTGAATATTGAATTGAATTTCAAATGCGCGGCAGCCAACCCCCTTCAATTTTCATTGTTGTTTTATTTTTTATTATTTTTTTTTATTTGTTCTCGCGCTAGACATCAGAAATCCAGTTTAAATGCCCAGCCAAGCAGGTATCTATCTATCGATCTGGTCTGCTCGACTCGAAGGCTAGACCAAAGATTTGTTTCTGCTCCAATTAGCCGCAGCAGCAGCTCGCGACGTTTAACCCTGAAGCCCCCCTTCCCCCTTCCCGCTCCCCCTCCCACTCCCCTTTAGCAGCTGCTGCTAAAGTAACTGTCAACTCATTTGGCATGCAGATCGAGTACATTTGTTATTAACATTATTATTACTTTTGCTTTTGTTGAGTCAGCCTGATTGCGAGTTATTTGCTGTACACTGAGAAAAATGGGCGCAGACTAAGCCAAGCTCAAGCTATAAATGGTTAAATATTAAATACTATATATAATTATATAATATATATATTTAATTTAAAAGTGAAATTAGCTAAGCTCGGCCTTTGTTTGTTGAATAAAGTCATGTACACTGAAAGAAATGCTCCTTAAAGTGCAGCTTTCAGTACGTCTACACTGACAAACAAATTCATGACAGTTGCGGAAGTTTCGATAGTTCTTGTAAACAAGTCAAGCTCAAGCTATAATTGTTAGTTTAATGTACTTTTGCATTTTACACTGAGAAAAATATGTTGGTCTGAATCTTAAAACCTGACGCTAGCCAAGTCAAGCTGAATTCGCTAAAAAAAAACTTTTAAAATACTTTCTAACTGTTATTTTTTTAGTCAATATTTGTGTGTATGAGTGTAGCTAAGTACACTGAGAGAAATGTGTTGTTATTCAAAATTCTCGTTGAAATACAAATGTGAATGAAGAGAAATATATATGCAATTATTCCAAATTTTTGATGAAATTTAAATATAAATGAAATCTATTAAGATATCAGAAAATGAAGTTTGTCTCATATAAAGAAATCTACGTGTCAAATCTTCAAGTTAAATTGAAAATTTGTCAGTTAGAATTCTTAGTTAGAACTCTACTGTACGCCTTTCTCTAAACTCTCTTCAAATATAGGATCTCTATATATTCCTACTTTTGCATAACATTCACATCAAATTCTCGCAGTTTTTAGCAGTGTATTTTGCGCACTTTTGGTCGACTTGGAGCTCAGCAAATTGTCGGTTTACTTGTGTTGTCTTGCGTTGCAGCTCATATATTTTGCTCAGTGTATGCGTGCATTATTTAAATACAGACAATCGGATGCTTTAAATTAAGTCAAAATGCCAAACACTTAAATGCTATCAAAATCAAAGCAGAACTTGGCCCGTCAAACCAGTTGATAATCAAAGGCAATCACATATAGGATTTCGATCTAACACACACACACACACACACACACACACAAAGGCTGGCGGCCCAACGAGTTTTCGACCAAAGCTTGAATTGATTTTTAATCAAACAAAAAACGAGCTTAAAATATCTTTACACAAATCGAAACGCGAATTTGTGTTTGCGCAAAATGTCTTGTATTTTGTTTTTTATGCTTCTGCTCAATTTTAATCGATAAGTTTCGGGAAAGTAACTACCGGAAATCTTTGACAGAGTTAAGCACATACATATATGCATAATACGTTCAACCTGTTAGCCAAGACGAGCCGGGCCAGGCCGGGCCGGGCCGTGCCTTTGGGTCCCAGGTTACATCATCGCCGGCGCTAGACGTGAGAAGATGCTCGAAAGCCGACGACGACAGCGCACATCACTTGCACTGACAGTTACATTTACACTCTCTCACACACACACACACACACACAATTACACTAAGAGAAACCAGTTAGATGTTGTGTCGCTTGCCAGTTGTGGGACGGAAGGAAGTGCGCGTTTCGTGTTAAATAATGGGCATTGAAATGGTTGGGAAAACAACGTTGGCGACATTTCCCGATGCGAGCAATTGCTGATTGCTCAGACAGCGCCAGCGATGGCGATAACAGTCAATTGTACAGGTTTATCGATAGCAAATATGCATCAGGAAAACATTCATATCGATAACAATATCAATAAACAGTCGATAAACATCACGATAGCCATAACTGGGCGATAAGTTTATAATTCGTAACAATATTGTTATCGATAAGTCGATAACAATATGAATTTCGATATAAATAGCAATGGGAATAACTTTCTTGTCAGCCACGGCAATAACATGTCCATTGCAGATATCGATAGTGGCAACAACGAAGATTAACGATTGCCTGTAAGAAGTAAAGAAATCGATAGGTAAAGTAACTAAGTAAGCTATGGTTAAACCAAATTCGACAACGCTTACAATAGGAAATACGATAACATTAGCGTGGCAAATATCGATAACATAAGTCAAACAGAACTCAATAGCAAAAAAAAATGTATCGATATCGATAGTCACAAGGAGGTTGACAATCAACAATCAATATAGATAACATAAACGATAACAATAGCGGTGTAAATATCGATACAATAAGTAATAATGCAATAACAAAAAGAATCTTGATTTCGATCATAATGAGAACAATCGAGATAGCAATATCGATAACATAGGCATTGCAAATATCGATAACACAAGTCGATTTCGATAGTATTAAGAAGGAGAACAATGAATATAGTAATAATAATAAATATCGATAACGATAACATTAGAGTTGCAAATATCGATAGCACAAGTAAAAGTAGCTCAATAGCAAAAACGATCTTGATGTCGATAGTAATAATGAGGATAATGAATATATCGATAACAGCTAAGATATTGATAGCAATTAAGATATCGATAAGTCGAACGATAACGATAACAATTTAAATTGCAGGACACGGCCTGGCCGTCGGCACACCCGAATGCCCCGAGAAATATGGCGTTCAGGCTTACGCGCACACCGAGAACTGCGATCAGTTCTTCCTCTGCACCAACGGCACCCTCACCCTGGAGACCTGCGAGAACGGCCTGCTCTTCGATGGCAAGGGCGCCGTACACAACCATTGCAACTACAACTGGGCGGTCGACTGCAAGGGCCGCCATTGGGATCGTGAGTAGTTCGCTCCAAAAAAGCTTGACACACACACACACACACACACACACACACTCCATGCTTCTCCTTTGCAGCCACGCCCATTTCGACGCCTGGCTGCGAATATCAATTTGGACTGTATGCCGTCTCCAAGGAGTGCTCGACAACGTACATCAAGTGCGCCCACGGCGAGCCGCACGAACAGGACTGCGATGCGGGCTTGGCGTACGATGAACGCATCCATGGCTGCAATTGGCCCGATCAGCTGCTCGAGCACTGCAATCCCGAGGGTGAGACATGATCCAGCCAGCCTTATACCAAATCATATCGAACTGTTTATACGCATTCTGCTTGCAGCTGTTGTGGGCTTCAAATGTCCGACTAAGGTGGATCCCAATTCGGTTGCCGCACGCTTTTGGCCCTTCCCCCGGTTTCCCGTGCAGGGCGATTGCCATCGATTGATCACCTGCGTCGAGGGCTATCCGCGTCTCATTAGCTGCGGCGAGGACAAGGTGTTCGATGAGCACACGCTCACCTGCGAGGAGCCCGAATATGCTAGCGGCGGCTGTGCCAACTATGGCAAATAGTGTGACCGTATCTCCAAAAAGAAATCGCACACACACACAAACTTAACTGTACATATGCATGTAAAGCTGCTTGAGCCGCGCTCTCGCTCTCGCTCTCTCTTGTGCTCTCTCTCTCTCTCTCTCTTCCACTCGTTCATGCACACGGCCTCTCTGTCTGTCCCGCTCGCACTGCACCCATTTCCTAGCATCAAATATTGCAATAACTAACGATAATATTCCACACACTCCTACTTTTTTTTTTCGTTCAAATATATATAAATATATATTGTTAATCGTCAATTGTATAATTTTTTTTTTTGTTGTTTTCAAAATGAGCACTAAATGCAATAAAATTGAAATTTATTTATTGTAATGTTTTTGAAAAATTAGATAAAATTGTTTTCTTTTTCATGTCTTGAATCTCGACATATACAAAGTCTTGAGACTGGAAATCCTAAACATATATTCTCCTATAGCATATGTAGTACATGTTTATCATTTGATATCGATACGTGCTGACAATATCGATAAAAATCGGTTTTTCCAGCTTAACTCGAAACTTGAGATGTGGGAACTTGTGTAAATATTACAGATTAAAAATACTTTACTTTCTGAAAACCTTTTCCCCTAATTCCCCCCCAAAATAGCAAAAATATTAATAATCAAAGCCTAAAACCTTAATAAACTCGAACAATTGCATAATCTTCGGACAACAAAGTCCGAAAACTTCTTGCTATGATATGAGCTGAAAAACTTTAAAAGGCCCAAACTTGGGAAGAGCTTAACTCGTATCGTTAACTCAAAATCGAGAAATATATATTTATTTATAAAGAAAAAAAGCGTTCTACAAAGAAGAAAATAAAGGCGTCAAGTCGTGCCGTGGCAGAGTTCACTGTTGAAATCGAAATAAAAAAAAAAAGCGCATGTATAATAATAATAGTCTATCACATCGAAATTCATGGATCGCTTTGTGTCGATCAATCGATCAGATGACGCGCATGATCCTGCGGCGTTGAAAATATGATCGCATAGATGAGGCCGTCGCGCACCGACTCCGTCGGACTGCCCACATTGAACATGAACTTGACGCGCTGCCGGACAATGTCCGGAACGCACGAGTACATCGGATACCAGCCCATCTTATTGAAGACGACATAGATCTTGTAGATTTGATTGCGATAGATGTAAACCGGCCGATCGAATGTGATGTCCAAATGTGAATCGTAGCGCACCCGCGCCGTACAGTGCGTATACGTGATTCGCGAACCGTGCATATCCTGGATGTGCGCATAGAGCACCTCGGTGTAGCGCTCGGCAAAGCCCGCCGAATTCATCAGTTCGCCGCAAAGCACCTGCGTCGGCACCTGAACGCCCAGTATCCAAATGTTGGTGTCCACCTGAAAAGCAATTGGCGAATGGAACGGCAAACATTGTTAAGAAAATGAAGGAAGTTAATCGAATTCCACCTATGTTTCACGCGCATGTGTGAATCGAAAACTCTCAAAAAATCCGCACAGCTTTCACTCTTGTTTAGGTGAAATCTGCCAGAGATTTCGGTGAAAAAAATCAAGTTTTAAGCAACTGTTTCAGCCTTTAACTATGAAAAGTTTAACCAAATTCACTTCTTTGCGTGGAATCGACAAAAAAGTTGCAGTGAACATTTTTCCACCCGTTCTTTCAACTTCACTTTATGTGAAGCTTTTCATTATCTTTTTTTTTTGGGTGTAATCTAAAATGTTTCTAAAGAACATGTTATTTGTTTTTTTTTAAAGCAAGAGCAATTTCATTTCTCTGAGTGGAATCTACAGAGTTTGTTTTCCACCAATTTTTCACTTGTTTTGATGAATGAAAATGTACTTTTAAACAACTTTCACTCTCTTGGATGGAAAGTGGCAAAGTTGCTGGCCTTGCTTTTGCCCACATTTTCCACCTGCTTGGGTGGAAACTAAAGGTGGGCACAGCCCTTCTAGGGGTTGGAGCTCGAAAGCTTACCTGAAAGGTGACGCCACAGTCGGTGACACTGGTGTTGCGATAGTCAAACTGCCGTGTCATCGAGCGCATGCAATAGGAGCGCGTCATGTCGTGGTGCGAGTTGCTGGCGACGGCGACGGCGACCTCGTTGTCGTTGCCGGGCGGCACAGCAGCTGCCGCTGCTGGCGCTGGGGCTGGGGCTGGCGGGGCGCCCTCGTAGGCATCGCCATTGGAGGGCGGATTGTTGGGCAGGGCGAGCGGCTCGTCGACGAAACCAAAGCCCGCACCGATGGGCACATGATCCATGCCGCCGGCACCAAGATTGAGCGGCACACTGATCCGCTGGCGTGTGAAGAGCGGCTGATTGTGCTGCGGAATGGCAAAGGCGCGCGCTATGGCATCCGGCCGGAAGCCGGCGTTTGTGGCATTGTTTGTGCTGCTGCTGCTGCAGCCGGCGGCATGGCGATACGAGGAGTTCAGCTCGCGTTGCCGATGCGAAGATTCGTAAAAATTGCGCGTGCTGCGCGAGACACAGAAGCCCTCGGGCATATTGCAATCGTTCAGCGTGGGACTGGAGATCTTGATGAGTATGGCCAATGCCTCGTGCTGTTGCAGCAGCTTGGAGCGTGCCGGTCCCTCGGCAAACTGTTGCGGCGTCATGGTCAGGAAGCGTATCTTCTTGACAGCCTGGCGCAGCATCGCCCCATCCATGATCGTGCGCTGTGCATCCATCATATTGATCATATTGGCCGCCGCCTCGGCGGCGTTCATCTCATCGTTGGCATTGCCGGAGGCATCGCTGTCAATGATGACCACATCGTCGTTGGCCACAGCTGCATTCACATTGGCATTCGCGGACGAGGAGCTGCACGAGCTGGACGCATGGATCGGCGAGCTGCATGCCGAGCCGTTGCCCGTTGTCGCCTGCTCGCTGACATGCTTATAGCTATCGACATCCTCGTCCTGATGCATGTGCTGCACCATGGCCGCCACATCGGGCTCCATTTTGATCTCCTCGACAATCTCATTGGCCGCCGCGTCCGGATGCTCTGTGCAGGCCGAGCCCGATTTGTTGTTGTTCCCACTGCCGCTGGCCATATCGTCGTTGCCATTCTCATTTAATATGCCGCGTTCGCTGGCAAATTTCAGCAGGCAATTGAACAAATCGAGCTCAGAGTCAATGTTGAGCCGATGCTGATCCAGTATGGCCATTAGCGTGGACACCTCAATGTCCAGGAAACTGGGATCGGAGAGCACTTCCCGTGTATTGGCCGCTATCAGATCCATGCTGCTCTGCATTAGGCGCGGCTCATCGAACAGCTTGGCAAACTCGTAGGCGCGACACGCATTCTTGGGACTCAGATCGGCCCAGAGGAAGTGCGTGCAGCGTGTGACCACATGTGGCAGCATATATTTCTTTGCCACGTAGCACAGCTCGCAGGCCTTGTCGAAGGAACCGATGGTTATCCGATCCGTATAGATATACTCGAGCATGGCCTCAAATGCCTCCGGCTGCACATCGGGTATTATTATCGGATCCGTCTTGTCCGGCAGATTGCCAAAGAACATGCGCTCGAAGACGGGCGATGCCATCGCCAGGAGCAGCTTGTGGCCAGCGATGATGCGTTGATTTGGCGGAGTGCCCACCAGAAATCGGCAGTCGGCCCATTTCTCAGAGTGCAGCAGATACTGGCCGCGATCCTTGATCTCTGTTAGACTGTTTTGCCAGTCCAGGTCCATAATATCCACAAAGATTGTAACCAAAAATGATCGCAATTAATATTTATTTATTGTGTACCCTTGTTTATATGTATGTAGCGGTTTCAGTGTTGGGTAACGGCATATTGGTGAAAGTAGTGAACAGAAAATATCGCAAAAGAAATATCGATTAATCATGACATTAAATGTCTATCCATTTAGCAGCTGGTAATAAAGCAATCCTCAATTAAATTAAACAAACTAGATGGGCGAGTTGAAATTCAATGCGAAGCATAGCTTTAGTAATCCCAAGTAACACGAGTTGATGTAGGTCGTGTGTGCCCAGCAGGGTTGCATGTGGCAGTGTGTATAATATATATACCAAATATATCGATATTTATGCAAAACAAAGAGCGAACTGCAACAGCGAACCAATAAATATGATGGGTATTAATCGTGTCTGCCGCTGCGGTCACACTCAAACCAACAGCAACAATTGCATTGCGTAGAAAAATAAAGTGCTTAAACGTATAAAATTTCTGCAAATATTTGATTGGCAATTAACTTGCGCGCCAATAACAACAAATCAACCATAACACAAGCGAAAAACCCATATAATTGTTGTCTCAACTGTGTATGTGTGTGTATTTGCTTTGTTCTATACAGAACCTGTGAGTGTGACTCCGAGTGTGAGTGTGTTTGTGCGGGTGCGTGAGTGCGTGCGTGTGTGTGTGTGTGTGTGTGTGCGTTTGTGCGCGTGCCGTAACGTGAAATGGCAAAGAAAACATACGATTTACTTTTTAAACTTCTACTAATTGGCGATTCCGGCGTTGGAAAAACCTGCATACTATTCCGCTTTTCGGATGATGCATTCACATCAACATTTATATCAACCATAGGTAAGCAAATGGCGCAGTCTTCAGTTACCAATGCATATGTATGTATGCGTGTTGTGCTGTGTGTGTGTGTGTGTGTGTGTGTGTGTGTGTGTGTGTGTGTGTGTGTGTGTGTGTGTGTGTGTGTATTGCATGTACCTGCAAAGTGGCTGCCGCTCTTTGGGTGTGTGTTTGTGTGTTGGTAAGAGACATTGTCAATTGCCAATGTGTGTTGTAGGCGGCGCCCAAAAACAACAAGGACACGGACACTTCTCTGTGCATTTTGGGCGTGGCATTGTCTTAATAAGCTCCACTGACGACCTCCCGCACTCCATCTATTCATACATATGTATGTACATGCTCCCTGTGGCCTTTACTGCGCCGGATGCGATAGCCTTTGGACTTGATGAATTGCACTCGAAGCCCGCATAAGTCGCATTCAACTTAGTAACTGTTGTTGTTGTTGTTGCTGGTTAACCACTGTGCTGAGTGTTGGTAAACTAGATTAATTATTGTGACGCATATCTGTATATATATGTGCATATATACATATATATATATGTATGTATGGATGTGTGTGATTCATATACAAAGGAACACATTCTTCAGGTTTCAACTAAATAAATCGTTATCAAACACTTCATGCTACAGCACGATAAACGATAAACAAGTCGCATTTGTGACGTCATTTCTGTAATTAGCCAAATCCTACTAAACGATCTGGTTCTTCTTGCAGGAATCGATTTCAAAATTAAAACAGTCGAACTGAGAGGCAAAAAAATTAAATTACAAATATGGGACACTGCCGGCCAGGAGAGATTTCACACAATTACCACATCCTACTACCGTGGCGCGATGGGCATAATGCTCGTCTATGATATAACGAACGAGAAAAGTTTCGAGAACATAGTCAAATGGTTACGGAACATTGACGAGGTAAGCAACCAGCCGGCCAGCCGGCGGCACTCTCTGTCATCATCAATTATTTATTCTTCTTCTTCGTAGCATGCAAATGAGGATGTGGAGAAGATGATATTGGGCAATAAGTGCGATATGGGGGACAAGCGAGTGGTCAGCAAAGAGCGCGGCGAGGCGGTAAATTATCTACAATTCAATTCACACACACACACACATGCACATAACAACACACTCTCCCTCTCTCTCTCTCTCTCTCACTGTATTTGCTCTCCCACATAGATTGCCCGGGAGCATGGTATACGGTTTATGGAAACATCCGCCAAATCAAATATAAACATTGAGCGCGCATTTTGTGAACTTGCCGAGGCCATATTGGATAAAACATCTGGACGCGAATCGGCCGAGAATCCCGAAAGGGTGGTCATTGATCGCGCCAATAGCGACAAGGCGCCGGGCTACAACAAGTGTTGTGCGTAATGGGGTTATGACACTTGTTAGTTTAACGTTCACGGTTGGTTTTGTGATCTACATACATACATGCATACATGCAGAACATACATACATACATACATATATATCTATATGTATATACACATATATACATATATATAACAATCTTGGCAAGAACCTAGTGCTTTTCTTCAATGTGCGTGTGCGTGCGTGTGTGTGTGTGTGTGTTTTTTGTAACTTTTTTATAGGTCCTTTAATATTACTATATGAACAAAAAAAAAAACTTAAGAAAAAAAAACAAAAAACCAAAATGCGTTTTCTACTGGGTGGCAACCCTACCATTTAAAAATCGGAATGCCAATTTAAACGGTACTCCAACACGACCCGTCTCCCTCCCACAAATGACATTTCCTATGCTGCGCAAAAAAAAAAAAACAACCATCTTTGGGCAAAACTAACAAGTGTCATAACCCCACAAAGGGCGGGACTGCAGTAAATAACTGTAACCGAAAGCAATAAACATAGACTCACACACATACATACACACTTATGGCAGTAACAACCAAGAAACAACCTACCTAAAGTTTAATATTTTATAATGTTATTTGGAGTAAATTTACAACAACAACAACAAAATACACACAACAAACAAACACACAGCGTACGTTAGTTAACGCACAAGGAAACGAACCAAGCGGAAAACGAAACAGCTGCAAATTGAGGAACAACAACAAAAAAAAAAAACTTAAAATGCATTTTGCGTGTCACGAGCATTTGTGGCATGCGGGCCCTACTTAGCTAACGTGGAACAGACGGAACTGAAACGGACGCACATGCGACTTAAACTCTCTCACTCACACACACACACACACACATACACTTGAAATGTATTTGTATATGTATATGGTAATTACTTAAATACCACAAATCACTTAAAAAATATACCAACTATTTATGTACGCGTTTTTTACAACCTCTCTCTTTCTGGCTGCAGCCGCACGTAAGCCTGAAAACTTGACGAAACATGTGACCATGTTTTGAATTTTTTTTTTTTTTTTTTGAATACATATACATATGCATAAGCACACTCAACAGACACACACACATGCATGCATACAAATGTATTGGTAAATTCTTTTTGTTTTGGCTACCTGCTTGGCGTTTAACCGTTAGTTAGCTTAGCTTAAAATTGCCGTTTTGTTAGGGAATGGAAAGAAGCAGCAGAACGCGCGAGCATAGAAACGAGCTGCATATTAAAATGATATCGTATTGTATGTTTAAATGTAATTATGTTAACAACAGCTGATTGCAAAAGAAAAAGCGAAATAAACAAATTGGCCAACGGGGCGTGTCTATGAGAACTTTTCTTAGCCTTGGCCAATGCGCCGCCGCCTACCATATATATAAACATATATACATAACTATAAACTATATATATATATATATATATATTTTTTTTCGTAATACTTATTATTTGTAAATGTATATGGATTTAGCGTAGTTGTCCACACCAAATGATTTAATGATTAAATATAAAGAACAATTTAAAGCGTCATCTAATCCAATAAAAAAAACAACAACAACAAACAGCCAATTTGCGTAAAGTGGGAGGGGGTGGGGTTGGGTTGGGGTTGGGGTTAGTCATTGCTAGTTGCTTGATGCACACAAACGCCCGCTATCCAGGTGGAACGCACATGGAGGCCATCGTCGAGCAGTATAAAATCGGCATCCGTACCAAAGTCCAGTGTGCCCTTTTCTCGTTCGATGCGCAAACAGCGCGCGGGATGCAGTGTGGCCGCCTCAATGGCATATACCGTGGTACAGTCTGCAAGTGAATGGGATTAATGCGAATCCAATTGGAATGCCAATTAGCAACGAATTGGGGGCGCACCTGTGGCGCGCTTAAAGATGCGCACACACTCGTCCATGGGCGCAATGCTGCCGCAGAGCGTCTCGGTGCCGGCTATAAATGCCTTGCCGCCCTTCACCTCCAGCGGCAGCTGGCCAATGTGATGGACTCCATCCTCCAGGCCCAGCGCCGATATGGCATCGGTGACCAAGATAAGGCCCTCGGCATGGGTGCGATATGCGATGCGCAGCGCGGCGGGATGTGTGTGCACGCCGTCGGCAATGATGCCAAAATAGACGGTGCGACCCGGCGGTATGGCGTCCGAGGCGAGCAGGCCCACCAGACCGGGATCACGATGATGGAACGGCAGCATGGCATTGAACAGATGCGTGATCAGTGTGGCGCCATGCTGGACAGCCCGTTCGCCGTCGCTCAGGCTGGCCATGGAATGGCCGAGGGCGACAGTGATGCCTGTCGCCACCAGCTGATCGATGACGCCAGCATCGTGCACCTGCTCCGGCGCCAGCGTTATGATCTTGATCCGCTCCAGCTGGCCGTAGGTGGCGCGCAGCGTGTCCAGGCCCTACAAATCGATGCAAGTGTAATGAAAAGCTCCAATTAGAAACTGTGGCATGGCCAGCAGCAATTGGACGCACATTGTCAATGGTCTGGATGCAGTTCTCCGGATGTGCGCCCTTCTTTTGCGGATTGATGAACGGCCCCTCCGCGTGCACGCCCAATATGCCGGCGCCGCCTTCGATGTGCTGCGGCATGCGCGGCAATATGCTGTGGTAGCTGTCCGTCGGTGACGTCACCAGCGTTGGACAAAACGAGGTGACGCCGTTTTGCACCAGACCCGTGGCGACCTTCTTCACGCCGGCCTCAATAGTCTCCTTGTCGTACGAGAAGTCCACGCCGTAGCCACCTGAGAGCGAGCGAGAGAGCGAATGAGCGAGCGTGAACCGTGCATGAAAATTGCCTGTCTCTGTCGCTGTCTTTGTCTATTGCTGCACCGCTCTAACGCACTGTGTTTATCTGATTTGCAATCTCGTTTATGCACAGTGGGGCAAATGGCGATAAGATTAACGCACAGAAAATACATGTACATATGTTAATGGCGCATTGAAAGTGAAATTAGCCGGCGGCTGTAACTGTTGTTTACCGTTGATTTGCAAATCTATGTAGCCGGGCGCTATAATGGCGCCGCCGCAATCGATGCGACGATGCGCCTTGCTGCGCTCATCATAGAACACGGGCTCCGGATTGATGATCTTGCCGTCCCGCACCCACAGATCGTCCTCGATCAGCCGATGGTCGCGCACCAGACGGCAATTGGTGAACTGAATTAACTGTCGCACACTTTTCGGATTACACTTTAGCGACATGCCGTTATCTGTGTGTGTGTGCGTGTTTGTGTGTGTGTGTGGATTGGGTAAGGCACAAAATGAAAACAAATGAAGGCCAAAACGAATACAAATAACAAAACGAAAACGAAATCGAAAAAGCACAAAGCTGTAAATAATTGCTTTTTCTTAGAGGCGACAAACAATAATAAAATGCAAATTGTTAAGATTATAAAATAGCGGACAACTCGGACTTGAACGACGCCCGCGTCGCTGGCGGCAACCAAATTTTGAGTGTTCCCCGCAGGCAGCGCGCCCGTGTTAAATAGACGGCGCTGACAGCCAGGCGAGTATGCTGCTCGCACGCAAAATCTTTTGCTGGCTAAACGGTTTCAACATTTATTGTTTATTTATGTACATACATATATTTATAGTAAAATATTAAATCAAATGGTTTTCAACAAATTTATTTATTGCTTATATTTGATTCGCAGCGCAACAGTTGTGAGCAGCATACCATAAGCTCAATAAACATCTGTACGCAAGCCTATCGATAACAGCAACTGTCAGACAGCTCAGTGTGCCGTGTCACAGCAGGCAGCATTTGGCTGGCTGTAAAGTGTTAGTGAATTATCGAAATGCAATCGATTTCATTTGAATTTGAATTTGAATTTAAATCAATTGAATGCAGAGAAATGCTTTTGTACATGTTTTTTTTTGTTTCGGTGGGCGAACTGTACATTTAGCCAGCCGCCTGTTTATCAGTTATATATAGGTTTTCTTTGTGGATTATGGCGATAAGGTCAGCTAAAAGTGATCCGCCTAACAAATGCAATTGTTTTCACAAGCGATAACAATTAAATGAGCATATTTATAGCACTTGAAAATAATGTAATACGGTCATGGCACTCTGCGCTCTCTCTCTCTCTCTCTCTCTTCGTGCTGCTCCTTTGCTCTCTCTCTCTCTCGCTTACTGATAGTCCGATAATCTGTGCGGTCCGTGTTGAAGTTTGCAGCTGGCACGGCACTCTATCGTTATCTGCGCGCGCTCTCACGCTCTTCCTCTCTCGTTCTCGCTATTTCCCTCTCTCGCTTACCGATAGCGGTAATCTTTGCGGTCCGTGGAGAAGTTTGCAGCTGGCAGTGGCAATTTGCCCGACACCGCAGCCGCACATTGTTTGTTATCTCTTCCACTTGTTCGTGTACTTTGCTGGCAAACTTTGCCTGGCGAGGGGACGGGGGTGGTTAGGGGAGGGCAAGCAGATATCATAAGGTGGTATTTGTGTAGGCACAGGAGACGGACGTGCGGAGTGGGGAGGGGGGCAACTTATAACTTGCATTGAAAGCGTAAATTGCGTTGCCTTTCCATTTGGCATGCACTCATTTGGGTTATCTGCACATCGGGCACTTAATAAACTTAATGACTCTCGAAGAGACTCTGGCTTTTTCGCCAAATATCTCGCCTAAAAGCATTCAAGTTTTATCCCGTCTTTGCAATCACGCTCTGATAGGCCCTGCCCACACCCGCCCCTTCGGCCCCTGTGCTACGCTTTGATAACATTTGCAATTGGTTTGAATAAAAGACAAAGCTGAAAGAAAAAAAAAGGGCTAATGCTGTCATTGGCAACCCTTTGATCCCACAAATTATGAGAAGAAAAAAAAACAACGAGTCTGCTTGCCCGACGAGCAGATACCCTAAACAATCGGCTGATCCACACTTTCTATGGCAGAATGCATTCACAATTAACTCGCAAGTTAATCGTGCGATCATTGTGAACATTTTGGGGCTTGACTGTGCGACGGGCATGTGAGTACATCCAAAATTTGGCTTTTGTAGCTCGCATAGTTCTCGAGTTATGCATATCCGATATCTAAACTGAATGACTTACTGGCTCTGCTAATGGTATAGGAGAATATACAGCTAGCTAGATGGACTCGGCTGAACGGGAATATATATATATAGGAGCTGTTTCCTACCAACTCTTGCACACATTATACCCTCTCAACCGATTTGTCGTGGGCTTAGGGTATCAAATTCAGCGCAAAAAATATACTGAACAACAACAAGCAAAAAAAATGCTCAGCAAATCCCGAAAACAAGCAAATGCAATAAAGTTTTAATTAGTTAAGTCGCACATAGAAACAAAAAAAAAATAATAAAGAATTTAAATAAAGCAGAAAATATTTTTTAAAAATACCACACATACTTGTTGTCGGACTCCTCGTGAGGTATGCGCCACAGAGTTAAACAATGTTTCAGCGCTTTTCTATTTACCTGCAACTTTCATGACATTTTTATTAATTGCTCAGCTGCTCCGCAGCCCACAGCTAGTTTAAATTCAAATTAATTAATTAGTTCTCATAAGGCAGAGCATGCAATGTCGCAATGCATTTGCATTTCCACCTGATTATTTCTCAATTTTTGCGTATTTTGCAATATTTCTCAACACTTGTCGTTAGCCTGTCAATTGTTATTATTATTTAGTATTCATTAGTATTCATTCATTAATTTAGTATCCATAATTTATAATTCATTATTCACTATTCATTATTTATTATTTATTTATTATTTTTATTTATTATTTATTATTCTTTTTTCATTATTCATTACTCATTGCTCATTTTTCATTATTTATTATTCTTTTTTCATTATTCATTATTCATTATTCATTATTCATTATTCATTATTCATTATTCATTATTCATTATTCATTATTCATTACTCATTATTCATTATTCATTATTCATTATTCATTACTCATTATTCATTATTAATTATTCATTATTTATTATTCTTTTTTCATTATTCATTATTCATTGCTCATTATTCATTATTCATTATTAATTGTTCATTATTTATTATTATATTTTTATTATTCATTATTCATTATTCATTATGCACTATTCATTATTCATTTTTCATTATTTATTATTTATTATTTATTATTTATTATTTATTATTTATTATTTATTATTTATTATTTATTATTTATTATTTATTATTTATTATTTATTATTTATTATTTATTATTTATTATTTATTATTTATTATTTATTATTTATTATTTATTATTTATTATTTATTATTTATTATTTATTATTTATTATTTATTATTTATTATTTATTATTTATTATTTATTTATTATTTATTATTTATTATTTATTATTTATTATTTATTATTTATATTTATTATTTATTATTTATATTTATTATTTATTATTTATTATTTTTATTTATATTTATTATTTGTTATTTGTTATTTGTTATTTATTATTTATTATTTATTATTTATTATTTATTATTTATTATTTATTATTTATTATTTATTATTTATTATTTATTATTTATTATTCTTTTTTCATTATTCATTATTCATTGCTCATTATTCACTATTCATTATTAATTGTTCATTATTTATTATTCTTTTTTCATTATTCATTATTCATTATTCATTAGCTGGGTCATTATTCATTATTCCTTAATCATTAGCTGGGTCATTTTGAAATTCAAGCTATAGGGTATGCGGAAGTCGGCTGGGTTGGGTCAAGTGTTTATTATTGTTGCTGCCGCCCGGTTGCAATGGACAAGTACATGCATATTATTTATTTACGACTTTTTCAGCATGACTAGACAAACTGGAAGAGAGAGAGTGCGGGGGTGGGGGGGTGTGGAGGAAGGGGAAGCATTGCCGGAGCTTTTGGGTAACGGATTTTGGTTAGTTGTCGGTGCTTTTGTGCGATCCCAACCGCCACATGTTGCACTGCAAAATGATTGCGGTGCCGCATTGCATTGCAAAATGTTTTATTGCATTCTTGTTGCAACAAACAACAACAACAACAACTTGCGGGTGGCCTCCGGATCAGCCCTGGGGCAGCCAGCTACACGTTAAAAAACACGGGCTACCTTCTTAATTAATCTGAAAATCAACATCTATCTATTTCCAATGTATTGAACTGACAATTAAGAGTGCTCCAGTTGGGCGTGCTCGACTAGCTGATACCCTGTAGTCAATGTCGAGCAGCGGCGTTTCAAGAAAATCGATAATTATCGATATTTGGATAATGGAAGCATGTTGAGTATTTATCGATGCATTAAGGCATTTTAATTTATCGATGCGCAATTGCGATGCACATTTTGAATTTGGACAGCATATTTTCGCTGAGTGTATCAGGTATGTGGATTGTGCCATGTTTTTGTGGCTTGTTGGGAAATGCCGCTACATTTTATTATGGCTAAGCACGCATTCATTATGCTCCGGACCCGAAAACCAAAACTCCGAGCAAGCATCAACAGCAGTTGGTTAAAGGGGTTGCTTGAAGGGCCGATTTTGGGGCCGGATGAGGTCTGGCAGCGAGACAAATGATGGCCAAGACGCCATACCCTGCCCAGTTCCCAGCAATATGCTCGTGACTACGTGGCTCATTTGGCGCTCGACTAATCGCAAATAACGCACATCGATTAGGGCCACATCAAATGAGTTGGCCCCAAGCAGCGGGCCACAACAAATACAATAAACAGAAGACACACAGGGGCAGGTAGACAGAGAGAGAGAGACAGAGAGCGAGAGAGAGAGAGAGAGAAACAATTAGCACAGTCAGGACATAATTGGCGTGCAGTTGGGTCTCTGATTAAAGAAGCAATCATAAAATTAAGACCCATAATCCTCTGCAATTTGGGCACACGCATGACAACTCTGGCGCTCACGAGCCAGGGGCAGGCGGGCACGGGGGGCGGGGCAGGGGTTGCCTCACACAAAAGCTAATACGCGTAATAACCAAACAGAAACAACAATAATAATAACTTGAGTATGTTGTAAAGAGAAAGAAACAGAAAGAAAAGATAGAAAGAAACTGCCCGACTGTGAGTTACCCTGCAAGCAGTTAGAAATTCCACATGTATTATTCGTTATATTTGAAATTGTTTATTTTTTTTACGGTTAGCTTAGTTCCAGAAAATAAATGTTTTTTTTGAGTGTGTAAAAACGCAAGTTTCCCTCGGCCAAAACATTGTTTTTTCTTTATGATTGAACAAGTTAAATGAACAAATAAGAACATTGAACCGGCAACCTGCCGCTGCCACAAGTCAGTTAGTCAGTCAGTCAATCACTCAATT